TTAAATTTTTGAACGCGAGGAATGTTAAACCGGCCGAAATTTATCGTCAAGTGACAGAAGTTTACGGTGAATACGCGATAAGTGATGGAATGGTGAGAAAGTGGGTAAGAATGCTTAATGCAGGTCGAACAAATGTCCACGCCGAGGCTCGGAGTGGTCGGCCTTCTGTTGTCACCGATGATTTGGTAAGGAAAGTTGATGAAGCAATTCATGAGAACAGACGCTTCACAATGACAACTCTTTCAGAGGCATTTCCACAAATTTCACGTACTGTTTTGTTCGAAATTGTGTCTGACCGCTTGAATTATCGCAAACTGTGTTTGGTGGCAAGCGCTTTGGATCTGACGATGACACGAAAAATGCTGTGGAATCGTGGTTATCGAAACTGGCGGGAAGTTTCTTTGACGATGGTATACAAAAACTGGTCACCCGCTATGGCAAGTGTTTGATCATTGGCGGAAACTATGTTGAAAAATAGTTTAAGACATGCATTTTCATGTAAAAATAAGATTGGATTCGAAAAAATTGTTTTACTATTTTTTTTTTTTTTTTTTTTTTTTTTTTTCAAAACGGTACTTAGTTTCCGAATACGCCGTACATATTTAATATATATTTTAAATTTTAGTTGCTGAAAATATTTTACGTTACTTAAATATTTTAATAAGACAAATGAGAAATTCTTTCTGCTTTTCTTTTAAAGTAAATCTAAAACTTCTGTAAAACTACTTACCGCATTTGATAGAAATTTCTTTTCAGGGAAGTAAATTAATCAGTTTCGATATATAAGAAATGAAACTCCGTGAAGATAATGTTTTATTACATTTTATATAAATTAAATTAAATTGCTGCTGTTGTAAGAATTCTCAGAATCAGTTGATGACAAAAAGTTCCACAGACATTAAGTATTTTTGAAGCAGGAAACATGAAAAATGTGCACTGCCCTCGGCAGGACTCAAACCTCTCGTATACGCGCCAAGTGTGCTCACCATTATACCACGAAGGAGGGAGAAATACCTTATATACTACCCCTTTTAAAGGGCGACTGGCGATTACGGAACCCAATCTCCAAATCCTGATAGAGATTGCGTTGAATGGTGGTTAGAAAAAAGTGAAGATATTATGCGTTATCAAATTCTGAAGCCATACGACAGTTGCGGAAAGTTCCGTTGAAGGCAATGGAAGATAGTAAAGACGACGTCGGTGAGAACAATAAAAAGAAGCTGTAACTGAGTGAAATGAAGAACATTAAAATGAAAAGTACTTAAAAGCGAATGTAAACATGAGAAGCAGAGCAAAAAAGAAAACTAAGCAGTATATAATGACAATTTAATACATTTTCGTGTTTGAAAAAGAAAATAAGATCATCAGTTATTATAAACCATTAGATCAAAAGTGAAGATAGGACAGTCTTCTTCTAAGCAAATTTGTCGCGTAAATTAAACCAAAAGAATGTTTTTTGATGTGTATACATACGTTTCACTTCGCTGAGTAGTAAAGTGAAAAAAAGTTCTTTGATTTCTGTTATAGATGCAGAATAGAATGCTCGACATTACATTTTGGATTAGCTCTTTTTGTTGTATTTCTAATAAACCCTTCTTTAAACAGCATTAAATATTTATTAGCAGCTCTGGTCAGTACAGCAGTTAATAATGCTGGCTACCGTGTCAAAGGGTCCAGTCTCGAATCCTGGAGAATGTTTAGATGTTTTCAAGTATGGAGTGTCTTTATAATATGGGATACTTAAAATACAGGGCGAACCGAAAAGACTCTCCAGAGGTCTGATGGTAGGGAAAAGGGCCGGAAGACCTCGCATCCGTTTCACGCGTGATTCTGCTTCAAAACTAGGATGGAGTCGGCCAAGGTGTTCCTGTCATCTATAATAGGTCCACGACTGATGAAATCCTGCTCTTCTCACCGCAGTTAATTTACGGTTTATTCTGATGTGACTACCAAATAGGAGAGAGGAAGCATAACAACAAACAAATATTTATTAAAATGGGTATTTGTTGCTGAACCACTTGATCTAGAATTAGATGCATCTAATCTCGTTAGATTTTAAATTATTATTCGAATTAAGGCAGGCGCCATTTTTATACACAGGGGAGTAAGTTAAGATTGGTGTAAATTTTATATAAAATAATTTTTGGTGTTTTATATACAATCTTCGCAAATTTTAACCGGTAATTTTTTCTGATTCTTCATTTACATCGGTATATGTCTCCTCCTATATATAAATTTATTTTGAACAAAGGAAATTTTCTGCAAGTTACGCATTTCTAAGAAAACTATAGAATATTTTATACGTACAGCAGCTGAAGATTCCGGCTTAATTTGAGAATATGCTGTCCCTGGTCTTTTCTTATATTATATAACGAGCTGAATACGCTATATAATAATATCATAATCTCCAAAAGATAAAGAGGTAATTTAATTATGAAAAGAGACGAAGAGGCAGCTTTCTTTAGTTACTTGCACAGAAAGTGTCCCAAAGCAGTAGTTTGTTCATATTATCACAGGTAAAAAAAAGCTACGAAAATAGCCATGCAATCGGTCTTTTTTGTCAACTATAAAACACCTGAAACCAAAATAAAAGCATTTAAACTAAAAAGCAACAAATGTGTTCCTAATACTCTCCTATATTAATTGTCGCTATCATTGTTCATGGAAAGTAGGTTATTGTTGAACAAACAAAACTTCGGGGAAGTATTCTGAAGCACTTTGAAAAGCATCAGCGGGCTCCTGCTTAACAAGTGACTCGATGGAGCTCTCTCCAAGCACACCCACTCTCTTTCTAAAAGGGCAATCTCTTTCCTTTCTCGACGAGGGGACAACGTCCCCTTGGGGGCCCATTTTGAGCCACTATTAGATGCAATCGCGGAATGATGAGGCCTCCCCGCTACTACACGAGAACCCTCGTGCTGAGTATTTTAATTTCCTCTCTCCTCTTTGCGAAAGGGGAGGTGAGACACATTCCCTCCTTCCCTCCCTTTCAGTGACTTCAGAAAGCCTACTAGGGACTGAAACCACGACATGATTCGGATGTCAAAAAAGAGGCCATTACGGGATTTGTGCAACCCCATTTTTTTCATTCCCATTCGCTGAAAATTGCCAAATGTTTTGTATATTCTAGAACTCCTTCATAAGCGATTGTTATGAAAATCAAAAGGTACAGAAAATCTTAATAGTTCGTACATTTACACATTTAAACGGATTTAAAGATATTATAACAACCTGAAGGCCTATATATTAATGGAATGCTTAAAACATAAGTTTATAGACTGACCTAGACATATTGCGACAGGCTTCTGGTATATCGTTGCTTTAGTGGAACTCATAAAGCAAATGGTGCCTAAAATACTATTTCTCTTCCTGATTATGTACATCAACACAATTTAATTTTGTGCAATTTAATTTGTGCAATAATTTAATTAAACAATTTAATTTTGTGCAATTTAACGCACAAATTTAAATTGTGCGCTCGATTTGGAGTTTATTTTATTTTCAGTCTTGACATGAGAAACCTCTTTTCAGAGTCATTTCAAAACTCTCGGCATTTACATTACGTCCGCTTCCTTAAATGTATATCAACCATTCATTTGGACGAGTGTTGCTTCTACTCCAAATGAGTGCAATGCCTTTGATTATCTACCGCATAGCTCTTACATAGCCAGTTCTCAAAGAATTTCGATTCGAAAAATTGTAAAATATTTAACTTATCTTTCAAATATAATCAATTTTAAACATTTTTACTCTCCGCATTACAACAAATTATTTCCTAGTCGCTATTCGTTAACATTTCTGTCAATAGATGGCGCCAGTTACTTTTTTGCCATTAGGTGGAGAACTGGAATTGTTTTGTCTGTTGTTGCTTAGCCTTCACACTGATGAAGTACTACTTTCTGCAGTTCTAGATGGAAGTGAAATCTTGAATGCCATATGAAAAGAAATATTTATAACTAGGTAAAATACAATGCATTTTCTGTAGCACAATTAATAAAAGAGTCAGCCTAACGGTATTTGGTCTTCTTGCAAGTAAAAGGAAATTCACAAGAAGTGTTTTACGAGAAATGTAGTTAATAGTTTTTAATAGCGCTTTAATTCTGGTCGCAATTAAATGGGCCTCATTGGTTTGGATCTCAACACGGTTTTCGTAAACAATGTATATCCAGCATGCAACTTTATATACAATGCCTGCGAATTTAATTCTACATGTAATTCTATCATTCTACATGTAATGAAATCCTGATTACATTTTCCAATATCCATTGCATATTATTGTCGTCCCTATGTCATGTCAATGCTGTGACGATGTCGATCGTATGCCTGCCACATTTCTGTTAATGCGACAAATGTGCATTAATATTCTTATTGCATTGATAAATGTGACAGCAAAATTTCAATTTAATCGTGTCTATCGTATACTGGTAAGTAGTGCTGGTTACGCTGTATCGGTCTTATGCAGTGTAAGTTCTACTTAGTCGATTCTACGAGTGCCGATCCAATGAATATAATGCAATTCTACAAGGTATACAATGCTCTGAAAAATCCCTAATATTGCTTTGTTTCTAATACTGAATTTATTTGGTACCTTTCTGCTAACACATCGCCACTTAATGTCAAACATAAAAACTAGAGCGAAAACTAACTAGAAATTGGCATCTCTTACGATGTAAGAGCGTAACTCATCGATATGTAAAGCTTCATAAAAAATGCACTTGTAATAACAATAATATACCATATAATATGAAAAATATAAATAGTTTATACCGAAGCTGTGCGCGATGCTGAATTGATACCACACTGCGACTTTTTTAAGCAGAAACAAATGCCTGTGTTCATGCGGAAAAGCTAATTATGTATATTCGGCACCGTAAACATTGAACGTTACATACCTATTCATTGCATCTGGCAATTGACAACTGGTTAAATTTGTTATAATTTGCGTTTAAAACGACATAAGTGTGTAAACGTTTTTAAAATGATCATTTTTATTTTTCAGGAAGAGGATAATTTCTCCAAAAATAGGAAGTGGGATACTTCTGAAATGGATGAAGGAATCTGGACCATTGGAATTCAGTAAAGGAGGATTACTTACATCTGAAAAAAGCTGCTGATTTCCGCTTTGACAAAAACGCATTAATGAATGTTCTGCAGTAGTTAATCCTTACCCTATTTTAAGATATTTATTATAATGTGTAGTTTGGAGGAAAAATGGAAAAGAAATTATCCTTTTCAACAAAGCATTTTCTTAATTAAGTGAATAATATATAAAAAAACTGAAAATAGAGCCAAATTTTTCAGCAAAACAAATTTTTCAATCTTTGTTTCTCAACAACACCTAAGGCTTTGATTTCTACCCAGGAAAACCAACTGTCCTTCGCCAATCAAAGAAAGCTAATGATTTGATTGGAAACATAAAAGTAATTCTTCGAAATGATGTAAGGAAAACGCCTTTATAAATTAGATGCCTTTGAATGCAGGAAGTCATGAAATTCAACTGTAGAGAAGAATCCAAGCACACTATGTAAGGTCACAGAACAGTTGTTCCCCATAACCCTCCTCTCTCGACCTGAACTAGCCCTTCCGTTACCCATCGGCTGTCCCGAAATCCTCCACCATGCAGAACATTATGAGAAAACAGTATTCCAAGAGCGAGCTGCCAGTAGGAGAGAAGTTAGAGTTGAGGGAGATGCAGGGTCGACTCATCATCAACAACGGAGATGTGAATCCCGGTTATGGATCCACAAACATAGGTTTCGACATGAGCGATGTGAGTCCTGTCACGCAGACTAAGATGACTATGGATATGGCATCAACGGATGACAAATCAGAATTTAAACCCGAGAGCGATGACACTAGAGAATCGTGGGACAGCAAGCTCCAATTCATGTTGGCTACCATTGGGTATGCAGTTGGTCTCGGCAACGTCTGGAGATTTCCTTACTTAGCACAAAAGAACGGTGGAGGTAAGTTCAGTTAGTTATTATCTATCTAGTGATCCAATGTCTTTCGAGAATGTTATGAATTTTTTGAAAACCGAAAATTGCTTTGACTATTAATTTACCACTTCAAACTTCAGTTAGAAAATTATTAACCAATTTATGAACACGAAAATTAATAATAACCAATCCTCTGGTATTATCTCAACAGCAGAATTTTAGCCACAGTATTTTATAACGACTTAAGCCAAAAATGGTTCGCAAGATGCAGGGCATCCGCATGGTTGCGTGTCTCAATAGAAACGGTAATATTTCATGATAGCAGTAAGACGATAGCAGGTCATTCTTAGAGTACATGGAGTGTATGAAGGTTAGTTAGGTTATTTGAATACGGCAAACGAGAGCTATCTGCCTAAAGAAAGGAAGGTTTTCGTGGAGGATTTTCTAAGGGAAACTGACTCATATACGCATTGCACATGGGTTGAAACCACAAAGCCTAACCACACAGCCAGTCCCTTCGTCTGGAATCGAACTCGGTCGAACTATGAGTATTCAGCTGTCTTAAATACTCCGTTATTGATGTGAGACGCAGTGTATGAAGAGAAGATCATACGTTGTCTCGACGACTAATTTCAGACCTTGTGACCTGAGCTCTACGTTGATTGGCTACAGAAGAGGAGAAAAGGTACTTATTGTTGAACTGGTTAAGCAATGCAACAAACCCGACAAGTACCAGCTGATAACTGAAATGGAACAGAGAGCTCTTTTCAAAGCCATACGAATCTTGAAACAAAACCGTATGATTTGGGGAAGGATGAAGAGGCAATTACCAGAAAGCTCTGTTCGACCCTATTTCACGTAGGTTCAACCAGTCAAAAATAAAAAACTATCGCGGGTACTACTACTATGAATTCTTAGAAGTAAAACTTCTTCGAAAAGTTGCATTCCACTAGGTGTAAAGGGAAGTTGTTGTCCAGTCTCAAAGCAGTTTAAGAAACTTCTTTAAAATATCGTCGATAATGAAGCAATCAGCAAAGTGGTCATAATTCAAAGAATTATTTTCTTCTCTAATATTTAAAATTAAATTTTAATTTATGAAAAATGATAATAATAAATAGACCTCTTTAAATAACATGTGTTTAACCATGCTTCTATATGCAAAGTAAATAAATATTGTATGCAGTCTTTTGAATAATAATTTTCCTGAATTTTATAATTGGAGCCAAAGTTATTCTAGGCTTAATTAAATTTTCAAAAATGCCAACCTATTACCCTGAGGGAGCTGAACTTAATTATAAACGAAAGCAGGTACTAGAAGTTGAGCTGGATCAGCATAAAAATAGATTTAATAATGAATTTTAATGAAATTTAATAACATTAAAATTCAAGCGAATTTCAAAACCATATCTCATTTACTATTGAGATTTCTTATAACTCTTACTTACTTAATTACAATTAAAATTTTCGTTATTCAGATAAGCGGTCTATCCCTCATTCACAGCGCGTTCGATATTCAGCCATCAAAAAGCATTATTATTAGTAAAATCAAAGACTTATATTGTTATTGCTGGAAAGAGAAATGGAACATTTCAGGAAAAAGAAAAAAATATTAAATTTTGAAGTTTATAAAAATATGAAAATGATATACGATTTTGATTACAATTAAACAATTACTGGGTACGGAGCGCTTCTAGGCTTAGCTGGAAAGATTTAGTTTGCAAATTAATAGTTTTGTAAGTTTTGTAAAGCTGAAGGCAATGCACGACATTTCATCGAAGACGGGGTATTATTACGATATGTTACGGAAAAACATGCCAACATAAAAGAATTCTATTGCCACAGGAAAGAGTTGAGATTTGGAAAGGATATGATGAACTTTATAAATGGCAACAGAACAATATCAGGAATTTAGATTTGATGTTTTTTTAACAGTATTTTTGTTTTAATCTGTGTTGGGTGAGTTGCATTAACCATGAGGTCGATTACTCCTCGTTTACTCACATTTAATTGCAGTGTTTTTTTTTTTTTTTTTTTATTTTTTTTTTTTTTTTGATTTAGTGTTCTACTTTATTCACAATAGCCTAAAAGTGAATAAACAAATACCTAATTTCTAAAATATTTAACAAGTGGATATAACAGAGAGGATAGTTTCTACGACAATAAATCTTAAAACGTTTCCAGAATTGCAGTGAAATGTATAATAAAGCATATAAAAAATTGTGCTAAAATGAACAAAGCCATAAATTAATAAAATAAACAGAGAAGTATTTGTCAGAAAATTCTGTCTTCCTGCGCATAATTAATTTCCCTACAGGCTTTCCCGAACTAAATGTGCAAAAATTAGGATTAATTAAGTTTTAGCCCAAAGGAGCGTTAGCTCAGAAGGCTATTAGTCTCGTTGAATCACTGTAAAAGGCTGAATCACTTTTAAAATTGTTGCCATCAAATATTATCGCCCTGTATTATTTTAAAAGAAATGAAATAAAGGAGAATGTGCATGAATACAGGTATGTTTCTCGCATTCTGAAAAAACGACGCTACTTACAGCCATCAAATTTTGAGTAGCGTAATCCTCCACCTGAACATGGGCACCTGGAAGCCCTTATTTTGAATTTCGAGCTTGGTTATCTATTTCCCTTTAACGAATTTTTGAATAATAAACTCAACGATTCAAGCAAGCAATGGTAAAACTGTACAGAAAAAAAAAAAGACACGTTTTATCTCCAGCGCGCGGAACTGTGTATCGGAAATTCTAAAGATAGGCTTATTTTAAATTATTTTGCGACATTATTATTGAACTGAAATTTAAGGCTCAAGTGCGAAGAACATGATATTTAATAAATAAAGGTAACACACAAAACGTTAAAAAAAGTGTCCCTTTGGACGTAATTTAAAATTTGAAACCTTTCAGATTTTTGTTTTTCTTTTTTTAATTATTTTTTTTTATTCTTACATTTAAAAACACGTGTCTACTAGAAGAGCTTTTATAATAAATATCAACAGTCGTAACAAAAAAGAATAAAAGTAGCTTATGTGTGACAATTATTTTGTTAATGAATAAAAAGAATATGTTTTGTTATGCATTTTATTTTTCGTAAACTCTGCAGGTTCGGTAAAATGATTTTATGCGATACTATACAATTAAAATTGAGCTATGCGTAGTGCTCGAAATTAAAATTCAGCTATGCGTAGTGCTCGAAATTAAAATTCAGCTATCTAATCTAAATAAGTTTCAGGCAATTTGAAGATGGAAATAATAAAACAATGCATTATGCAGTATAAATTATTTTTCTAATTTAGCCCATATATTCGATGACTGAACAGCACTACTGCTGAAATATCGTCTCATTTAATGGGTATTATTTCTAGTCAGGAGTCGCTATTAAGCAGACAAAGGGAAAAGGATCCTGAATATTTGAACAAATCGAATCTCAAACAATTCAGACGCTATAAAATGACTTGTAAGCACCTGAGCAATTCTATAAGAATGAAAAACGCATTTAAAATGCATTACAGTCTACATCAGAAAATGTTTCCTGTCTCACAGAGCTCAGCTGTATATCCAAAATGCATTACATATACGGCAACACAGCAAGAAGGATGAAAAGAAATATTTGATTTCAAAGACATAACCATTTTTTCATCAGTCAGTCTTCATGCTATATACTTAATTTTATCAAAATACCCACTGGCATTTCTCTTCCAAAATGTAATAATAAATATATTTAGTAAAAAACTGCTAACTGTGTGTTAGAAATTTCACCCTCAATAAGCAGTTTATACTAAGAATAGATACTTACTTAATACTTTACTTAAAGAAAAACATTTCTCCTCTTTAATAAATTATTTCTTTATTTTCTCTTTCTCATGCCGCTGTTTAATAATTCACATATATGATTTCTTTCCTTACAATATATCCATTTCGCGATATTTCGCTTTGATTTTTATGAATAAATTGCAAGAATGAAATCTTGAGTTTATCTTCACATTCTACGTTTCTTCTTATTTTCACTTATAATTTTAAACTCAATTGCGTTTGATCTAGTTTCAAGTTTAACCTTTAAGCCCGGAAGTCTAATTTTTATCCTGGAGTTAAACATATTGTCAAAATTGTTACTAAATAGTTACAACTGAAATAACAACAACTAAAATTTATTCTGCTTTTCATCTTGAAATACAAAACTAAAATAAATTTACTTTATTAATTAATTTTGGGAAAATATATGTCAGTATGCAAATTGATAACATTCCACGAATTAAATATTATTCTAGTAAATTTAGTTCAATAAAGTAAATACGTTAAATCAAGTTAAACTTAATTTTAATTAATATAACTTAATTTTATCCTAGTATTTCAAGAAGAGTTCACAAACTAATTATCTAATCAACAGGAGAAAGAATACTGTCAACGACGGATACAACTAGAAGAGGTTTTGGACGTTAGCAATCATCCTTCATTTGACCTCTATTCTTACTCCCATTCAAAATTCCTGTCACTTGCAAATCCTGTTGGAATTGACCAGACAGTAGGAGTACATAACAGATTTTAACATAAGCGAAGCGCCTTACTCCTTCATCAATTAACATCTATTATTATAACTCGATTTAATTACACATGACACATTTGAATTTGCTTTACAAGATAAATTTTCCGTAACATTTTAACAAATTATTAATATTAGTAATGTGTAAGAGAAGGAAAACTAATTTCGGTCCTCCCATCAAAATTCATTTCGCAGTAGAAGAACAAGTGCCGATAGGACACTAGGAAAGAAAATTCTCCTTAGAAATGCTTTCATATCAAAGAGTATGCAATATATTCTTCTTACGTAAAGCGTGTCATCAGCCAATTTTCATCATGAATTCTTAAAAGCAATGCTAAAAGGAGTTAAGTACCAAAAATTTCATAAAAGGCTATTTTAGTCTGAAAATGCAGATGATTCTTATATAGAAAGAAGGGTTTTAGAAGATTGTTAGGAAGTAAGTGGAGACTATTCCAAGAATGAAGGTATTCCAGGAAAATTGTGGCAAATCTCAGAGGTAAATATCTATTGAGATGGTCTCTTTGTGTATGTGACTCCCTTAAAGATAGAATTGCTTGACGATAGTATGTGCATTCACGTTGGAAGGTTACAATCACTTCCAGAAGACGGGATAAATTATTCAAATTTATGATATGCAATTAAAAATGTGAAACCACTTTTACCATAAAAAGAGATTACGATAATATTCTTGTCTTCTTAAAGCAATATCTTTTATTAGTCCAAAGGGGCTTTGTTCCTGAAGGACTATCGTTTCCGTTTTGAGATTTTGCGTTGAATCACTATAAATGTCCGTTTCACTTTTCAAACTTTTGCCACCAAAGGTTAGAGTCCTGCATTATATTTGAAGAGATTAAGTAATGAAAAATCTGCATAAATGTATGTCTATTTCTTGCATTGTGATAAAACAAAGGTACGCAGAGGCATCGAATTTTGAATGACGTAATCCTGCTGCGAATATGGGCATGTGGATTTTTTTCCCACATGCATGTGGAAATTCCAAATTTGAAATTTGTCGAGTACGTTTCCAGCTACAGCACGAAGGTATGCGGAAAGGAGGGAGAAAATACGTTATAAATAACTAATTGTTACCATCTTACTAATGAAACACAGGTAACACTGCATGAGGCGCCAGAGACCTCATTACAGAATCGAACCCCAATACACTAATCAGCTAGAATATTACTCTCACTAATGAAAGGCACAATGAGTCATTTCCATACAAGACAAGAGATATGGCGTGCCCCAAAGGATTTTTATTCCCTAAGCAGCAAATCTTATTCTGGGCCGAAGGCTACAGTCTCAACTTCTTTTAGAAGAGGAATGATGACCTACATTAGTTTCTGCATTCCATATGAGGTATGGAGTTGTGTAAATCGATCTCTAATAAGACTCACAGGAGAAGGCGAATATTCCTTACATTCTTTTGCACTGAAAGAAAGATTTGGATGAAACGAATGCAACTCAAATGACTTAACCGAGTTGGTAATAAAATATTGTTCAGCACATTTTAATTCATTGTTAATATAGAGAGAGTTATTAGATTTTTTAGAAGCCATGAAAAGGAGGAATAAATTACCTCTTAGCTAGGAATCACACCAAGGATCTTCCGATTAATAGTCGACATATTACCAGTTATATCACGGTACTACGTTGTAGGAAAGGCGAAAATTCCTTGTTTTCTCACAATAAATTTCTCTGTCATGTAAATCTCACTATCAGGTTTCATATCATCACGTAATAATTTCAAAAATATAAACAATCAATTAAAATTCCTCTTTTATCGCAGGATTGCTTTATTTCGAATGTTTACCTATTCAAGAATAACTGCCTTTTTAAAATCCTCCTTGATTAAACTATGATGCTGAGGAACTAATCCTAGAAACATTTTATTGAATTATGGACCTAATTATAATATGAGTTTTAATAAAAAAGCCGAGATTCGAGCTGAAGTAGAGTAATATGGAAATTTTAACAAAAATGTTGTGCTAAATGCATTAAAAATACGAATCTATTTTTAAATATTCAAAATACATTCCAAAGACTCTTCATTGAAAAATACATAAGAAAATGCATTTCATGTATTCAGTTCCACTTTGGGATACCATAAAAAAACCGTTCTACGTTACAATAAGAGGAAAAAATAGATTTGAAACCATCTTTCAGCTCCTAAGCTTAGCGAGTTTTGTGTTGGTCAGGCACGTAGTTCAATTTATCTTTCTCTGACATTTAATGCCGTCGGAGAATGCGAAGATAAATTTTAAAAGAGTTTTTGTATTTGCTCTAAAAGTAAACATTTCAAATTCATGGTTACTGTAGAAACTGATCTTCCCGTTTCTGCATTAAAAACATATCGGTAAAGAATCTGGCTTTAAATTTTTTCTTATAATATTACGATATCCGTTTTAATGATTAAACCGTTAACGATTAATCATTAAACTTTAGCAATTAAAATCTATATCTTGAAACTTTCACACATCTCACTACTTCCATGATTGTCTACTGTGCTTCTAAACGGCCGATGGTTTGTCACTTCACAGATTCTTCTGAGTGATACCTCTGACTCGTATTAAACCTTGAGTTCTTATATACTGAAAGTCAAAAGCTGTATTGCAGAAATTCACTCAGATATCCATTTTGCTCTTGATTGACCATCAATGAAGCAACGTCTTGATTTGTACATCAGAAACCGTTGGATTCCTTTGGATAATGATTATTAGGCTTATAATTAGGCTTATCTGTCACACATTACCTGCAAACCCTGATTACACTGATTGGATATTTCATGAAATATCATTATTTATGAGTATATAAAAATAAAATTTGAACATGAATACAAATGACAGACATACAGATTAGTATGACAGACACAAAATCATACATTCATATTGCAATTACATATTCTTATCTTACAACTTCTTACTCAAATTAAACGTTTCAAATTCTATAATATAATTTCTAAATTTTTATAAATAACTTTAAAGAAAGAGCAATGTGAAATATATTTCATTTAATAAGACACTTCTCTTACAATGATTTTACTGTGTGATTAATTTCTTGCTAATAATAAATTTCATATTAATGAAGCTACGAATTTGCTACTGCAAATGTTATTGGATATGTTATTTTTGCCGTCCTTAAAGTACGGATCGAAATGTGACGCACAGCATAATTTCACAAAATACGAAATTCACTAAAACAGATGTCTTAACTGTAAAATAGAATAGAACCGAAGATCTTGCAATATATTGTGCTTTGTAAGATTCTTTTTATGTGTTACTTAAGTAGCGATTTACGAATTTCTTTTTTACTTTATCCCCAAATTTCGAAGTTAAAACAATATTTCAGATAAATATACCAAAGAACTGAAGTTAGGAAAGATTGTGCAGTTGAAATAAGTTTAAAAGCGACTTCTTAAATTATCACAGTTAGTACTTAAAAATGGAAAATATCGTAAAATATCGTACAGTCTGAAATTTAGCTTCTTTCCGTCTAAACTTAGTATGAACTAAGCCCGAATATGCTCCTGCGCACGTTTCTTGGAAGTGGAATGGCTGTTAGAATTTTTATGCTTTTACAGTTTTGAAAAGCAGCATGTGGTGCATAGTGTAAGAGTAAAATATATGAGATAACATATGGTTATGCCTCTTTCTGATTCATTATTCCATCTCCTGAGATAAAAGTTAAGCTGCTACTCGAGAGGTAATATCTCTTATCTTAGCACAGTAATTTAAAATATGGAACAATTTTGTGAGAGCACAGGGATTATTCTGCCCATGCTGACCATTTCGAAGGACTAGAAAAAACATTTAGAAGTTTAAAAGAAAGAGTGTCAGTGATTTTAAATTGCCATATAATAAAAAGCAAAATAGCAAAAAGGGCCTTTCTGTGGTATATAATTCGACCCGTAACCAATCAAAAAATCTAAAGTCTCGCATGCGTGAATGCGAAACACTCAGCAAAAATCTTTGATCGAATGTCTCGCATGCATGAATGCGAAACACTCAGCAAAACCTTTGATCGAATGTCAGTTAATATTGCCTTCGCTGTGACTACTTTATGGTTCGACACGTTGGCATACAGTTAAAACATTTAGACAAAAACCTTATAATATTTAGGCACAATCCTTATACCAGTTTCCGTAATGTAACAAGGTCTGGTTGCCTAACAAGGAAGTTTGGGTTCTACCACTTGTGATCGCAAAGCCCTCTCAGACTTCCTATTCACTTTTACGCCAAATTTATGTCAGTTTTTGTGCCAAATGAATTCAGCCTTATTTCTTTAACTGGTATACGAATTGACCAATCACAGCGAAAGAAATACAAATTGATATCCGTCTGATGATTTCGTTGAAACAGCTGCATATATACGAGTGCGCAAATTTGCATTTTTTGATTTGCTACGACATAAACCTTATTCCACAGGTGTGGACGGAAACTTTTGCATTAGGTTTATGATAATAAGGATGGCTAGACCATCATATATACGTTCTCTTACAGGTAGGTGATGTTACAAATATCTCTGTTTCTTCTCACTTTTTAAGAAGAATCCCCTTGAAAGAGAAAACGAAGGCCTTTCATCGCTCTTGCACCAGCCTTTCAAAAGGTCTGTCGAATTGAAAGTATTCTAAGTGCCCCATGTTGCAAATACACTGTATACTTACGAAGATCTACACTTTATCCGGGATTCGAATCCTCATCCAAGATTATGTTAACCAACTTCCCTACTAACATGACGAGACAGTCATTGGAAACGCATCATACATAAACATGCCATGATAAAAAAATGGGTGCATTTTATGCAATACATGAAATTATGCTTCCACTCATAGTAATTAATAATTAAAATACTAATCAAGAAGCTCTGATTTCAGATAATATTTGCAGATTTTTCATCCGTTCTGCTGCTTATTAACAAGAAAAGAATTATTATTATTAAAAGAAAAGAATATTCGAGAAAACAATCTTTACAGTGATTTGATTATTTTCTATTATTTTTTCAGGGGCTTTTTTGATTCCATATTTCATCATGCTGGCAGTAGAAGGCATCCCGTGCTTTTACATGGAACTGGCAGTAGGTCAAAGACTTCGAAAAGGTGCAATTGGAGCTTGGAACTTCATTAGCCCTTACATGGGTGGTATCGGCATAACGAGCGCAGTAGTCTCTTTTAATGTGGCTCTCTACTATAATACCATTATCGGATGGTGTCTTTATTACTTTTTCCAGAGCTTCCAGAGCCCTCTGCCCTGGGCCGCTTGTCCCAGGGAAGAAGGCCCCAACAATACATATATCATCGTACCAGAGTGCCAGGTAAATGATAGTTTCAAAATAAAACGTCTATTCTCTCTCATTCTTTTACAATGTTTTTTCATAAAGAATTTTTATTTTTAGAAAAGCAGCCCAACAGAGTACTTTTGGTACAGGCAAACGTTAGATATAAGTTCCGACATCGAAAGTCCGGAAAAGTTCAACTGGAGAATAGCTCTTTGTCTCCTGCTTGCATGGTTCTTTTGCTACTTGTGTATGGCCAAAGGAATAGCTTCATCAGGGAAAGTAAGTTTCAGTTGTGAATCTGTTGCTTTAAACTTTTCATTCTGTAACAACAAAGTCATTGCAATCAAATGAAAATCAATGTTGTAATGTAACAAATTTTAGTAATGCAACAAATTTCGTGCATGTGTGTCAGTAATTCTCACATCAATAGTGCGATTATGTGCAAGGTACTTTCATGACGACAGCGCATTACTTTGCAGGCGTTTTTAGAATTACTACTTATGTATTAATATTTTTCTTGCAGCGCAACCTCTCTAAAACGACTATTCAAAGTCTCAGATGAGTTTAATCTTCTGTTAAGGTGGTCATCATAGAGAACATGATTATCATTTTGGAAAGCATAAAAAATATTTATTAATGTTCTTAAAATATTAAGCATTTTATGAAGTGGTCGGTTAGGAGCGATGTTTTTTTTTTACGTTGTTTATCTAATAACACATAGCAGGCAATAAATGTTATTTGATAATAAAATCTTTTATCTAAATCAAATTATTATAAGAAATAAAAATTAAATGCAGGAAAATATTTGTTTTGCGAATTTTCCATTGAAATTCCTTAGATAAATATACTTGGTGGGAAACTTTGTTATAATAATCATGCGATGAAATCTGCCTAAAATAGCCATCCACGATCTTCTGCTGATTTGCACGCCTAGGGGTATAACATTCAAAATTGGCATTTAATTTTCTTCTGAAATACTCGTCACTTCCAGAGATGGTCGCCAAGACACACTTTCATGCATCAATAAATGAAACTCAGAAATTGTCATATCATATCCGACAGTAACATAAGTTTAACTAAAAAGAGATAAAATCAATCAAGTAATTATAAAAAATAATTATTTCATTAATTTTATGTTATATTCATATAATATTTTCTGAAGATATAATGTTAAACCATAAATTAATCCTGGAATACTTACATCAAAGCTAAATTAATATCATTTTCATCTAATTCAATCCAATAAGATCCATCTGGAAGGTTAAGTATGAGCATTAGAAATTTGTTGACGCATATTCTTTAATTTTAAAAAGAAGAAATATTTCAAAAAAATACATTTTCTTCTTCTAAACCGGTAAAGGAAAAATATTTAGCTATCGTAAATGTCGAAACATCAAACATGACGTCGTCCATTAAAGAATTGACATAAAGTTTGATATTTCTTTCCAGTGAAAAACTATTGTCTTTCAGACGCGTCAATTTTTTTATATTTATTTATTTATTTGCAGAGACAATTACATTTAAGAAAAAGAAATTAAACTATTTCTGAGTAAATATATTTACAGATAATTTTGCCTAGTTATCCTTTAATGCTAATGAAACTATGTAATTTCTTTGTGAATACTTTACATTTTACCAAGCAGATGAAGTGTCGAAAGCAAACCCTGGCCATCTAAGGTCTGAATACCTGAAAAAAAAATCATATAAGAGTAAGAAAATAATAACAATCAAAATATATACCTATTCAAATGAATAGATACATATTTACATTATGTACCTATTCATTTGGACCTACCTGGTGCTTGTGATCATATTTACAATATGTGTTTATTCAAAAGAAAATCAGATGCAAAAGCTCTTTAAAAGTATAGAAGGACATGAAAAAGATCTTTCTACTTTTTTTATTCATTTTTTCTTCAGCTTTCTATTTCAGATATTCTTAAGATATTATAGATTCCACATTAATGATTAATAAATAATTTATTAACTATTGGAAACCATTTTTTTTATATATTCATTAATTAGTTCTCTGTTAAACTCTAGGTTGTGTATGTTACTGCAACATTCCCCTACCTGGTGCTTGTGATCTTCTTCTTTAGGGGTATCACATTAGATGGAATGCAGAGAGGTCTTGAACATCTTTTCACTCCAGATGTGAGTACCTATTCTTTCACTTCTAAGCAAGCATGTATTTAACTATGCTAAACTGTATGTTTTCTATTCAAAAAGGTAATTATGTGCCAAAATGATGTTTTTCTTGTTGCTTGCTAAGCTTTGGAATTAAAAAGAAATAATTTGTCAAGTTAAGAATCTGTCCTGAATTCCCTTACGATAACATAAATTCAAAGTTTTAATATCTGGAATTCAATTGGAACATACTACACTTATTAAAGTGTAGTTTTAGTTTAGTTTCCGATAATTCCTCATGAAAATATTTAGTGTTTTAGCTTATATCAGATCATCAAATGTAAATCTCTGATATATTTTAAATAATTTCGGGCATAAATGCAAATGATCTTGAACGGAATAGATTGTACAATATGATGCATCGAATCTACAAAAACTGTTTCCATTTACATTATCAACTTGTATAGAAAGTGCCTAGTTGATAAAGAAAGAAGGTTTTAGTTTTTATTTACTCAGTATTTAATTTATGCAGCTATATAATGAATCCCCAATTATAAGAAAATCTGATGTAACTAACTTTATAGTTATATTCTACTAATATGTTTTATGTATTTCATAGCTTTTTCCAGAATTTCTGCAAATTTAAACTGAAAAATACCAACACTTAAAATCATTATATTTAGAATGCTAAGATTCCATCCATTTTAGAATAGCGGAAAACATTTTATTGTTCTTTTTATCTTCACCTCCACCTTTATCTGCGTTTTAAACAAAGGCTATACGAGGCAGGGTTAACCCCAAGTTCTTGGAGAATCAGGACACGCAGTAAGCATATCTTAAGACCTATATACAGAGTGATTCAAAATTCATCATGAATATTTGATGGGGAGGTAGAGAATAGGAAAAGAAGGAGATTTCATATAGGAATGCATGGGCGCATGTGCCATGCATTGGGCCATGCAGTGGGGCAAAATGACCCCACTTCAATGATGGAAAGAATACATGAGAAGTAAGTAGTAAGAAAAAAAAAAACATTTATCTTACATGTAACATTTCTTTGCATCGGTTTTACAGACCTACAAGAGGTGCTCGAACTACTGAACATGTGCTAGAATGCATGACTCACAACGGCGTTGCATGGACAACCGGACCTTCTGGAATATGCCTGGCATTTACATGCATATCTGCAAGTTCATTCCACGTATACCGGTTCATGTTAATTCTGCAAAGTCACCTAGTCGAATGACGACTGGCTGCAAACGTCATACAGCTGTGCTTATGTATGGAAGTTGTGTACACACAGCGCCCTCTACACCACCATGCGTTCGTCTACGCCCATACATTCCTATGTGAAATCTCCTTTTCCTATTCACTACATCCCCACCAAATATTGATGGTTAATTCTGAATCATCCTGTATAATGAGCACATCTTAGGACCTACATATAATAAGCATATCTTAGGACCTATATGTAATAAGCGTATTTTAACTCGTTAAAATCCAGACCCTTCGCTAAGCTGTATCCTCAAAATACCCTAACCGCCCGAAATACTTTTCCAGTTTCACAGCAATTTTCTCCCCTCCCCGTCCATTAACGCAGAAAATAGGTGTGAAGATGTCCAATGACATCCTTTGTACTTTCTAACAAAGATTCCATTAGCCTTTGACCGCTTTCTTAATAAAACTATTCTAAAGGTCAGATCAACAAGCCTTTCCGGCTTTGTTATGATCACCACTGAGATTTTGTTTTTTCCGTTATTTTTATTAGAAGGAATAAATTGTTTAAAAATAAATATAATCCTTAAATTTTTAAACTGCTCTTTTATTGCTGTTTAAAGCTTAAAAGCACACTGTACCACAAAAGAATCAACAACGAAATGTCACGATCAATCAAAAGATAAAAAAAAATTCTTAGGACAAGCTGTCTGCAGTAAACTGATACAATGCATTTGGGGAAAAGTGCACCTGTTGCTACATACCTTAGGGGGAGGGAAGAAAAGAAGATTACAATCTCGGCCGTTTTCGGGCGGTTCTGGTCGTTTCAATGTAGGGCCGTGTCGGGCGGATTGGATGTGAAGGAGTTAAGACATATCTAACGCATTTTAACAATAAGAATATTTTACGACTTACGTAGTTTCCTAAGATATATTATGTGCCAATGACCATTGAGTCAAAAATTTGTGTGAGTTCTCTGATTTGTTTCAAGTTTTTTGATTGAGCTGCCAGATAAAGTTTTGTTCAAGGATGATCTTATGATGGAAGTTTGGAATTTTGTTTTTCAAGGAAAGGAAAAGTAGCTAATGTGTTTTTATAAGTTTGGAAATATGTAGGTGATTCATCTTTTAGAGAATAGTTTAATAAGTTTTTATGTGTATATATTTGTTTGGTTTATTATTTAGAACTCTGTCCAAGCGGAGGAGGGGAATTGCCTTTTTAGACCGTTAGCAAAACTTAGGATATTCCTTATTAGAGACACTGCATTTCTACTTTGCTGTCACACATATCTTAGGGAAAATGAATGCTTTTTCACTGAATACTGAATAGGAGAGATTAATGATGAAATTTAATACTCATAATTATTGATGACTTTTCACATTTTCCAGAGAGGTGACATTTCGCGTATTGTTTTACCTAACTCTGTACATTATATTAGGGAAATGAACGGTGTCGGTGAATATTATTCGAAAAACACAAAATAGATGTATCTAAATAATAACTGTTGAGAATGCAATTTATCAATTAAGTCAACATTGATACCATGTGGAAAAATCAATACTCGATAATTTCTATTCCTGGATGCGAGGAAAAGTTTAAAGAGGCTGATTCTAAGGACGTTGAAGAAACTTTGCTGATTATTTTAATGAGCCGTAATCTGCCATTATTATGAAATGCTAATTATGTATGTGCATTTTAGACGAAGACGTGTTGAGGGGACAGGTCTATGCCATGTTATTTTCTACGTGAAGTCATTAACATATGACGAAACTGAAAAGCAATAAGAAAGAAATTTAGTGATTGCACGTAACAGCAATTGTAACTAACCCTTAACAAGATTTGTTTTTAACTATAATTATTGCTAACGTTTTGGGGAGACGTGGCAATATTAATCAGTCTTCCTTTGTGATTCATCAATCAAATTTTAAATTGTTTTGCGAAGTGGCCCATTTTTCCATTTCAAATTGGATAAAAAGAAATAATATTTCAGTCCCTTAAATTTCGATTGAGTGGAGTCTAACTGTATACTAAAAATAAAACTGGATAATGTTCCAGAGTAATAGAGAAACAGATGTCAAAAAATAATTGATAGAAAACAATTCATATTGTTACTCTAAATATCGAGTTGAATATCCAAATAAAATTTGAACACATTGTTTTATAATTTATAAATTATATCTTTTAAAGCATTCCTAACTTTATTCTTCAGTGGTCCAAGTTAGCTGATCCTGTGGTATGGCTAGAAGCTGGAACACAGATCTTTTTCTCTTTGGGCCTAGCCTTCGGCGGTCTGATCGCTTTTGCCTCCTACAACCCAGTTCACAATAACTGCTTCCGCGACGCCATCACTGTCTCCATCTGCAACTGCGGTACTTCCATGTTCGCGGGGATCGTCGTTTTCTCGGTTCTGGGTAAGAATGTTTACAGAATTAAATCCTAATCTGGAAATTCTCAAATTTTCAATTTTTAACACCCTTTTGGTGTAATTTTTGAGCAATTCCAGAATTCTTTATTAATTTTGAAACTTAAGTTTGATTCCGATATTTTCAGTTTTATTTTGCCAGTATTTTAAAACAGTCCAAGTATAACAAGATTTAAATATAAAGAATGTGGAACTTTTCATCCTGAACTATAAAATTACATTGAAATTATTGCATTAACAATAATGAATTGCATTGAAAATAAATTATTTTCAAGAAGTTTAAATATAAAAAATAATAATAAATAATTATCGGTCATCATACTTTACTGAACTTCTTGATTTACATTTGAAGGTGTGTCTGTTGTTTCTTATTTTAATGACCTTGAAATAAAAAGTAGTATTTAAAAGAACACTATATGTATTAATAAGTGAATTGCCTAAAGGATTGGAAAACTTTCTTGTTGTTGCCGTTGAAAATAAAAGATTTCTTAGAATTCAATCTATAAAGAATTTTCTCCTTCCTTACCGCGCCCCTTCTTGATATAGATATCGGTTAGCAGTTGGGAGATCCGGAATTCGAATTCGGCGAGAGCGCTGCTGATTTTTTACTTTCTCTGGTCGCCCCCAAATATTCCAAAAGTATCTGCAGGTGGCACTCCAACAAAAATGTAGTGAACGATAATTCATCTCAGTTTGGTGAATAGGTTCCCTCCTTGCTAGTCGGCCTTTAATTGGAGAAGAATGCAAAGAATTTTACCCTTTCTAACTTTGTGCCTTCATAGTGTGATTGGAAATCACTTCCGGCTGGCATCGGAAGGTCCGGATTGTGAATGTTCCCTCATTCCTGCTCTGACAAAAATCCTATGGCTTTACAAGTGGCCTTCAAACTAAAATATGTTGGAAAATAATTCATTACCACCTGGATTTGGCGACTGATTTCCCTTCCCGCCTAATCGCCGTTTAGGTAAGGAGAATATAAAGAATTTTCTGTTTTCTGTTCATGTTTCAGATGCCTTGAAGCACGTTGGTTAGCAGTCGAAAAATTTGGATTTCGAATTCCAGCGAACACTTGCTGATTTTTCCTATATCCTTCTTTGATATATACCTAATGCCTCTACAAGTGGCATCTGAACTAAAATGCAGTAAATGAAAATTCGTCACTAACTGGATTTAGTGATTTGGTTTCCTTCTCCAAAATCACCATTTTAAGCAGGGAATAACGTAAAGAATTTTCTCCTTATTTACAGCGTGCCTTCATAGTGCAATTGGAGGCACATACCACTAGAATCTGGAGGTCTGGATTTCGAATCTCGACGACAGAATCGATGGCTTTTTGTGTTTCCTGTTCTAATAAATTACCTAATGATTATATAAGACTTCACATGGCTTTTTATTATATATTATAACAATTCATAATTAATTTTAGGAAGATAAAGGAGGTTTATTTTTCCCTTCGTTTATAGATAATAACTTGCGTATAATTAATTTTTTGAAGTGAAAAATTTATTAATACAATCACTTTTCTTAAGAATATATTAATATATGAAGTACGTAATGCTTCTAATTAGTAAATATATCTCCAAAGAAGCAAAGTAATTTTAGCCGGTAATGAAATGAGCAATGAAAAAATATGAGCTAATGAAAAGAGGAATGCAATTGGCTGATGGGAAAAGACAGATTAATGAGTGAAGATAAATAAGAATGCGGGAAAGAAGACATTTCTTCACTATAGTAATTGTTACTTATAAAATTTCTGCTGAAATATTTGGGAAAAGTTTTATTTAATTTTCTATATTAATTAGGATAGTTTTCATCATAACACACTCCTTAATATTTTCATAAATTAAGTTAAAAAATTTTTCTTTCTTTTGCATGTACAATTTTAAAACATTTTCGTGCCTCGTTTTCCATTCTAATAAAACGAATAAAAATATAAAAGGAAGTAAAAATTTTAAAAGGAAATTATTTTCTTAAAAAGTAATTGCTTTACTTCTTTGAAAAATAATTTAGGTTTACTTTCAGAATAAAAGTATCACAGCCTAGAAGAGTACTGCATTTAAAGCATGTACGAATCAAATAAGTTTCCTTCATCAGACATTCATTTAAAATAAAAATTTAAATTTATTTAAGACAATTATTCAAATATTTGTATTTTAAATAAAATTCAAACTTTTAAGTTCTCAGCTGTTTTGCTGCTACATTTCACTCAACTTTGAAGCATATTCTGTAAACTGATGTTACCAAAAAACAGAATTTCAAAACCGATGTAAGAGAATGCACAGTAATATGGGAAATAATGGAAATTCATTTTCAGAAACATTAAAACATGGTACAACTTTTCTTATCATTTTAAATACGAGGAATATTCAAATATAAACTGGAATTTTATGCTCCTTTCTTATGAGATCTCAACGCACGCTACGATAACTCATTGAGCAAATACGTACATGCTTGAACTTATAATAGATCTAGTTTCTATATTTATCACATCTATTTGTTGCAAGAAACTTGTCGGAAAACGAGATTCACAGCGCTAGTGCATAGCCAATTATCATTAGATATGTGGTGCCTCAAGGCATTAGTTCATTTGCTGTTTAATGTTTTTGCTTGGATGTGTATTTGTCTATTATCACAGATGGGAAGTACATTGTTACGAAGGCCACAGTGTCTTTGAAGATGGATTGGGGACTGGATAGAACTTGGATCTGTTTCGTAGCAGTCAAGTAGCTTACCGCCATCTCAAAAAAGCTCCGATTCGATCCCCTCGTATATTGTAACTCTTTTCTGCCCTCAGTATCTGACTGGTCCACATAGCCGCTACAGAATTTTGACAAATGAAAGTGTCATTTCCTCTCAAATATATTCGAGATTTAAAAATCAGTTTTAAGGTGATTAGCACCATCAAACTTGAGGTGAAAATGCACCTTAAAAACTTTAAGGAGGAAAGAAATTCAAGTATAATAAGCAGGTTATTGATGCTGTGCAAGGATGCGTCAATAGGCAGTCAAAAGGCTTCTGGATTTAAAAAACTTCCTGGGGGAACGGCTGCGTTGAAGTGACAAGTGACTACATATAAAAAAATCGTTTCATTGCATTCAATAAATATATTTTAGCTGATAAAATCCTGCTTATATTTGCTTGAATATCCCTCGTATATATAATGAAATAAATTTCCTGGCTTGATCCTCATGCCTTTAATTATAATAGATAATGGAACTCTACATCATAGAAATTTCTGTAATGAGAATTATTTCAATGTTTACTTTTCTCTAATTCATTGGAAGCGCTCAACTAAATTTGTAATCATTCGACTTATTTGCACAGGTTTCAAAGCGCACAACACTCACGCACGGTGCGTGGAGGATAGAGACCTGCTGCTGCAACCCCTCTATCCCAACACGACGATACCACCCACGATACCCCCCGATGTAATCGCCCACCTGATGGCTACAACCCCTAACCTGCCCTATGACTTCCCAGAGTGCGATCTGCAAAAAGAATTAGAAAAGGTAACATACTTTAATTGCAAATTAGCACTAACGACACACTGTGTGCTAAATACTATTTATTCCTAGTATATTCTATACTAATAATAGCTTCGAAATTTAGTGCTAGTTTTATCTGATATAAAAACATAATTTTACTGATGTTGACAAACAACAGAAGAATTGTACCACAGAGTATTAAGTCTAGATTTCCTAAACAATTTCATTAATGAAAACAATGAAACTGAACTTTCGTAAATTTTCATTCTGAGACAACTTCTATAAAAAATTTTTAAATGCAGCTTTTCTCTTTTATTTTTATTTTATTTATTTATTTTTGGTTTCATTTTCATAAATATAGCTATATATTTTATGAAAACAGCTCTCAAGATGGACCAGTTTCAAATCATCGAGACGTTAACATATTACCTTTGCTTTTCAGAGCGCTTCTGGTACAGGTTTAGCATTCATAGCTTTCACAGAAGCCATCAACCAATTTCCAGGTGCACCCTTCTGGTCCGTGCTTTTTTTTCTCATGTTGTTCACCCTGGGCATTGATTCCCAATTCGGAACTCTTGAAGGTGTCATCACGTCCATCGTAGATATGAAGCTGTTTCCCAATGTCAGGAAAGAAGTGCTCACAGGTAAGTTTATCTTAGCAAATTGGCATATTACAACTCTTGAAATTTGTTAATACTTTCATTCAGAAGGCCTTAATCTTCTTTCCCAACTCCCTGGAAAACAATTTCCATTGCAAGGTCTGACTAGATATTTTTGAAACCGCTCTTTTTCTTGATATTAAACGTACCAACTATGCTGAGGCTTATAAACGTTACACACTCATGCATTTGAATCTGCGATTGAAGAGCCATGATCGGCACTATTTAATTACAGTGAATAAAAAAACCTAATATTTTTCACTGTGAAGGGTAGGAAATATATCTCTGTGAAACCACGTCAAACGTGCGATTAAATTTTACCTGAAACCAAATGAAACGTTGGAACAGAGATAGGATGATCGAATTTTCGAGCCCCCTGAATTTTGAAAAGTTTGAGTTTCAAAATCTAGAATATTCACATTTTTTTCTTCAGTTGAATCTTAAGAATTCTGCTCTTAAAAAACCATCAAACATTTAAACTCTAATATTTGGAAGTCGAATAGAAAGTCTTTTCTTCTTAAAAAAATTGCGAGTGTTGTAATTCTCAGGCAAAACTTTGTCGCAGCCATGTTAAAAGTACTATACTTACTGCAAGTGCACTTTCATGAACGCTAAAAATATTTTTTTCTTTTTAGAATTTATCTCTGTAAACTCTTGAAATAATACTTGTAAATCTCTAGAATAAACTTTTGAAATAATTTACTTTAAATTAAGATTTCGGAAAACTGTGATTCAATTGTTTTCTAATTATGTTGAGAAAGTAAACTTTAAGATTCAAGAGGTTTAAACATGTATTTCATTCATTAAATTCTATCTATAATTTGTATATTTAAAACTGTATACTTAAATTAGTTTTTTACTGAACGCAGATTTAAAATTTTCTCTGGATTAAAAGCTTTTAAAATTAAGTAAAATTTCTTTTCCTCCCTTCTTTTTACTATCCTTATATGAATAATTCCAGAATCTTTCAGATTTCGCATTCGAACTAAAATTTAGGATTCTTCACACTTCTAATTTGAAGTGTTAAAACATGCATATGCTGGTGAAGCAATCTTGTTTACACTATTTCAGTGGTTGATTATTTCAAAAGCTGCAACACGCAAGTGATCAAGGAAGGGTGTTCTAGCTGTTCATCGACTGCGTTACAATTGTCAACATTCCCAGCTCATGAACCGGTAATAAGTAATGAATATCATACAAAGGTCTTGAAAGCCCATTTATGTGAAGCCATGAGAAAGAAAGGGGCAGGTTTATAATACAAAAATCGTATTTTTTATCCATTACAATGACCAGCCACATATGTTGAGATCACATAGAAAGTAATCTGCGTTAAATTACATTTGGGCACTAGGATTTTTTTAAATCATTTTTTAATCTCTCTCTTTTTTTAAGTTTACTATGTGCAATAATTTAATAGGTTACATCTTTCCTCCATGCAGGACCAACGATTTTACAAAAGCCCCATAAATATATGACAGTTGTGTCAGGATTAGCACCTGCATGTAGACATTTAGAAAATCCAGAAAATCCACGGCAGTTAATTTTTCAGGGAGAGTCCTCCTATCTTTACTTTATCTAACACAAGTTTCTGTCTATTCTAACAGCGATTCTTAACAGTCTTTTGATTGCTTCTTTGCTTAATTTTAAGTAGTTCCTAACAGGATACTCTTTCCCCGTACAACAACATCCAAGCTTACATGTAGATTTTATGATGCTCTTATTAGTCGTCTATTCGGCTGCGTTCCCGGAGCAGGGTGGAGCAGAGAGTAGATGGTTTCTGCCAGGAAGATATCACACTGTGAGGCTAAGGCCAGGTCAGTGGTCTTCCTAGTGGCGCTCACTCACTCACTAATGTTGAGATGTTAAACAAATTGATTGAAATTATGAGACTGTACCCAAAAATAACCTCTATACAGTCTGAAGTATCATACGATTTCTGTATATTCTTACCAATGAAAAGATTAGATACTCAGAAAGAGGTACATTTCAGATGATGAAGGAAAAACCTCATACCCACTGTCTAAAAAGACATCACAAAACAATCTACTTCATGTTTTCGAATCGTTGATGAAACGCTATAAAGTGTAATTCAATGTAATAGACTCTATTTTGTTAAAGATTTTGTTTGTTTTGTTTGTTTTGTCTATTTTGTTTGTTTCCATTATCTAAATAGTCAATATCTCTTAGATTCATTCAATTATTTGAAGACGCCATCTGCATGCAGGTTAGTTCTACCGTTTGCTTAAATGCTAGTATTAGTGGTCAACGAGTACTAATTATAACACACTGGAACAGTGGAAACTCATATAGGTTTTTAATATCAAAAACACTTTTTTTCTTAAACAAAGAATCTTCCATCAAGAGGGATACTTCTTTCCAAAGATTAGCTATTTCTGGAATATTTGTTTTTTTTTTTTTAAACTGATAATTCATTCTTCTTTAGGGATTACCTGCTTGATATGCTTCTTCTTATCGCTCATCTTTTCGCAAGGTGGTGGCAATTATGTATTTACCCTCTTCGATAATTACAGTGGGAACTTTCCTCTCTTGATTGTTGCCTTGTTTGAGTGCATAGCCATTTCCTATGTCTACGGCCTCAAGAGGTAAGTTTCCTCTTTACCTTAAACTACTACATAGAGTGAAAACTTTGCTTTATATATACTGACGAAAACAATTAAGAGAATTTTCATATTTGATCTACGATCTCCAGAACTACTGGACAGATTTTAATAAAATTTAGTTCATATAATACAAACAAAATAAACATTTAACAGTTATAATAGACACACATGTTCATGTGTAACACTCATAGGAGTCTGGAGGTCTGAAACAGTGGTTTCACAAGACACAAAAGAAATGGGCTAATAGGGGGTATGGTCCCCTTTTACAGCCATACAGACCTCGCAGCGTGATGTCATACTGGAAGCAAGGCAGTTTATCAGTGCCTGTGGCAATTGGTCCCACTCATTCAGCAACGTTGTTTTCAGTTCCTGGATGGTTCTCGGAGGGGGTTGCGAGTTGCGATTGCCCTCCACAGAGCGTTCCAGACATGCTCTATAAAGCTGAGTTCTGGAGACCTGGCTAGCCAATCCATCCGGCGAATATCCTCACTCTCGAGAAATTCGTCGACCAGAAGAGCTCTATGTGGCCTCGCGTTCTCGTCCTGTAAGATGAACTCGGGGCCCACTGCACCCCGGAAACGGCGAACATAGGGCTCAGAGACCTCATCCCTATACCTCAAACCAGTCACAGAGCCTCTGTCAAATACTTAGAGAGGTGTGCGACCATCCAACATGACGCCTGCCCAGACCATTACACCGCAACCGCCATAATTGTTGATTTCGCGGACATTGGAGGGTAGGTAGCGGGTCCATGGCTCTCTCCATATGAAAGTACGGTGAGAATAGGTGTTTAGGCTAAAACGGGACTCGTCGGTGAACAGAACGGTCACCCATTGCTCCGTACTCCAATCACTATGCTGCCTGCACCATGCTAATCGGACTTCATTGTCCGTAGACGTGAGCGGAACGCAAACAGCCGGTCTTCTGGCAAACAAATCTCTTTCATTCAGTCTTTTGGAAACAGTCACCTTGTTACACGGGTTACTGTGGTTGCATACAGGTCCGGAGAGAGCTGAGAAGCTGTAGCCCCTCTGTTACGCCTCGCAAAAATGTACAATAGCGATCTTCTCTGGCCGTCGTGGCTCTTGGACAACATTTCCCAGGCTTTCTCTGGATGGATCCACTATCCTGGAACTGTTTCCATAGGTTACACACGACGCTGGGCGTTAAATTAAACTCTCTGCATATCTGGACTTGCAGTTGGCCTGCCTCTAGCCTCCCCACAATTTGCCACCTCATTCCATCATCTAAACGTTGGTGGTTACTCATTTTTACTGTTCCGATGTGAGTTTAACCAATTGCTGCAAAATAACACCAAGAAATTCACCGAGGTGGGCTAGCGAATGCAATTTGTCTTACCCTTCACGCGCCTATAAAGCCAGGTTTTCTGCTGGCTCAGACTACATAAACGTTTACGTATTTGCCGTACAAGATTTGCATTTTTATCTAGAAGCAGTGGTTTTTCCTTTAGCTCAGATCTTTTCATGGCAATTCGATAAAATATGCAAATTCTCTTAATTTATTTCACCAGTGTATAATACTAAACTATATAGAATTAAATCTTTGCTTTATATGTAATACTAACGTATTGCTTAATCTTACCAAAAAACACTTCTCGCAACTTTCCACCACGTAGCCTTTATTCAACACCCTCTACTGGCCATTAAATAGCATCGCCATGAAGGAAAGCGGTTAACAGAGCCATATTTGAGCGTGCATTATAACGGATGGATGAAAGGATTAAAATATCGAAAAGTAATTTTGAGATTCAGTACACGTAGATATTAGTGCTTGATCATTCGCCTCTAACAACAATAGCAGCTGTTATGCGGCTGGAAAAATGAATCTGGCAGATTTTGAATGTAGTTACGAGCATTTTAGTTCACTTGGCTTCTGCTTCATGTGAGAGTTTATCTTCGTACTGGCTTTCTGGTATTTTCCTTCCAATCTCTCTGCAACCATTCAACCGACGTTTTCAGATGGCGACAGATAGAGAAAACGCGCTGGAGAAGACAGTTTTCTAACGTAGTGTATATTGAAAGCAGCTTGTACCAGAGCAGACCTCAGTGGTCCAACTATGGACATTAAAATCTCAGTAATGGAACAGTTCATAATTAAAGAAGAATGCAATTTTAAAAACCTCGGACCTTGGGTAATAAAAAATACGCGAATGAGAGATTATCTGCATTTTCATTCTTTAGAAGTCATACTCTCTGCTTTTACTTCCTTGTACAAAGGAAAGGAAGCACGAAAAATTTCCGGTATACTATATCAACGAAAATATCCATTTTGACTGCTCTAGAACCCATTTGAGGGAAAATTTTTACATTACGTCTGTACGTACGGGCAGAATAAAAGCCCCTTTTTTCCAAAACGGATAGTAAAATGGATTTAAAAAGGATTCAAAACAGATTTTTTCGTAACGTCTATACGTATTTATATGTGTATCTCGCATAAGTCAAAAATGAGTAGCCGTAGATCGTTGATTTTGTACATGGGACTGCTATAACATCTACTTGGGCACCTGCGCTTTTTGTTGCAATCAGCTGCACCCCAAACATATATACAGTGGATGGACAAAAATATGGAAACACCTTGTGAAATGCATGTTTGAAAAGAAAGATCGATATTAATGAAATATGTAGGTGGCGCTGGCATTTTTGACTACTGACGCCACCTATACAACTTCGTAAATGCGCTACACAGTTCAGTTGTTGTCGGAGTACTGTTATGTGAGGTTGTCATTGCATTATGTCAGAGTTAACAGACTTCGAACGTGGGCAAATTGTTGGAGCACGTATGGTAGGTGCTTCCGTAAGCAAGGTAGCCAAGGTGTTTCGTGTTTCAAGAGGTACTGTATCGAAGATTTATTCCGCATATTTAAAAAGCGGAAAAACATCATCTGCTAAATCAAAGCGCGGACGAAAGTGTATCCTGAGTGATCGTGACAGACGATCATTAAGAGCAATTGTGACGAAAAATAAGAAGACCACAGCTGCAAAAGTTACTGCTGAAATGAATGTTGTGTTACCGAACCCTGTGAGTACCAAACAATTAGAAGGGAGCTTCATAAACAGGGAATTGCTGGCCGTGCTGCAATTGAGAAGCCACTCATCAGTGATGCTAATGCCCGTAGCAGGAAAAGGTGGTGTTTAAGTCATAAAGCCTGGACTATAGAGCAGTGGAAGCGAGTAATAGGGTCTGACGAGTCTTCTTTCAAATTGTTTCCCACTTCTGGCCGAGTTTACGTCTGGAGAACGCCATCTCAAGCCTATAATACAGACTGCTTGTTGCCAAGAGTGAAACATGGCGGGGGTTCTGTTATGGTTTGGGCAGCCATATCGTGGTTCTCTGCTAGCCCCATGATAACTGTGTCAGGGCACATGACTGCCAAGACTTATGTGAACATTTTGGCCGATCAAATTCATCCCATGGTACAAACTTTGTTCCCCGATGGTGATGGTGTCTTCCAAGACGACAAAGCCCCTATTCACACAGCTCACATTGTCCAGGACTGGTTTTCTGAGCACGAGGATGAGTTGTCCCATCTCCCCTGGCCACCACGGTCACCACACCTGAATATTATCGAACCTTTGTGGTGTACATTGAAACGGAAAGTGCGCTCTCGTTATCCACCGCCAACATCGTTATCTGAACTTGCCACCGTTTTGCAGGAAGAATGGTATAATATTCCCTTGGCAAACATACAGGAACTGTATTTATCCATTCCGAGAAGACTGCAATCTGTTTTGGATGCCAACGGGTTTCCTACACCATATTAAGCAAAGAAACATGTTTTTTAAAGGTGTTTCCATATTTTTGTCCAACCCCTGTATTTCTCACTCTGTTATACGGCTCGGTGAGGTCATTTTTATTCTTATATATTGCTAAATTGTGCTTTTTTTTGCTTTAAAAGAGGATGAATTAAGTTGTTTTTATGTTCTGGTTAAGGTTTTATGTCTTTAGTTAATCTTCATGCAATAGCTATAGAATTATCAACAATTTAATAAATTAATAAAAGTTTAAGTGACGCTAGGTCTAACAAGGCCGCCATGTGCTTACAGTTGAAACTCTTAGTAGAATAGTGAAGTAAATCAGTTGGTGCATCAATTTCAGTGCCTTTTTGTCCAGTAAGACTAAAATTTAACTTTCAGTTTTGAGCACCGAAAATTTGGCCACCTGGCCCTTTACCCGAATTCCTTGTTTTTGCGTAGAAACTCTAATTTTAATAGCAAAAATTGTTTTTTCTAACTGTTTTTAACTATAGTTCGTGTTTTAGGTTTTCCCTTATTTTACAATTTTTAACAAAGCTGTTTTGAGTTTTTATGTATTTTTGCCTTGCCACGAAGTGAACACTGAATTGGTTGAATGAGAAATTTGTCTCTGAAATTCAAGGAAAGTTTAAATGAAGCGCAGCAATAAATGTGTAGTGTCCACATCAGATACTTTAAGATCTGTTTCGCAGCACTGCAGACGATGAAATGCTATATATTGTACTCATTTTAAATGTCTTTAATTTTTGGTTTAATTTGAATACTTCAAAAACGTTTCATTACATATGAGGAAATAAGAATTTTCAGTAATAAAGGGAAATTGATCGTAAAATCTAAAATATGCTCACAGTAAATGAAAATGGCGCATTAAAAAGCATTAAATACAAATAAAATTTAATGGACATGAAGAATATAAATGGAATATAAGCACCATTATCGAAAGAAAGCAGCAGAATAATTAATGAAGTATTGGTAGTCCTTAATCCTGTCCTTTTCAAAACATCACTGCGTGTTCCGGTATAGGACTTAACATGGTCAGACATTTAGTACAACAGCTGCCTGATATTATTCCTTTTGCAGATGAGCCTATGTTTCTGTATGACGGGCTCTAAATTATGTATAATTCGGCATAACGACAGGACACATTTTATCCGCTCCTAGACATGCTTTCAAGGAAACAAGTCTAAACAAAGAGCAAGACATGGAAATATTTGTATATACGTAAGCAATCCTATAAACGACGGTAATCTATCATACTGGAAGAACGTTCCAAATCGCAAGTAGCAGTTTAATTTTATTCACAAATTTCTGGCTATCAGCGTGCCACAAACTATTACTAGAGTCGTCTGACTATAGTAGGATATTGCTTCGCAGGTCATGATGCCTGCTATCCAAGGACGTGTGGCACCCAACAACAAGGCTGAGACTCTACTGCTGGCTAGAGAATCTCCACACTCAATTATGAAGGTCATCTGTCTCCAAAATGAAGCTTGACTCATCGCGAAATGTCACACATCGCCATTCCTTGACACTTTACGTTGCCTGCCATACGGATCATTCAAATGTGCAGTTTTCATTTCGATTATAATGCATCTCTGGAAGTCTGTCAAGTACACAAATCATCATCTCTATATTTTAAACAGGATCATTCTTCTTTAGCATTTGCGATTTCATCCGCTAGTGCCTTGCATATGGTATTGATAAAATAATACTATTTAAATCTGCTTTTCTCAATTTCAGAGCTACTGCATAGTGTGCGACCATGCGCTTTCGCACCAAATTTAGACCAAGTGTATGCCGGTATGCAATCTATCCATTTGCATAGTTTCATATTTGTAGCACGATTTGTTTTTTGTGCCTTAATTTCATTGATCGTGAATGTGTTAAACAAAAATGGTGAAACCTTTACCTATATTAAACATGCGGTGAATCATATTCTTTTCAAGATTGCTATATTTCTTTTCATGATTGTATTCGCGATGTCATCAGAAATTTTGGTTTTAGGTTCAGCGACGATATCGAACTGATGACGGGAAGGAGGCCCAGTTACTATTGGCTCTTCTGTTGGAAATATGTAGCACCCGCAACGATGATAACCATCCTTTCTGCTTCTTTTGTAAAAATTGCCACGGAAGGTAGTGGATATGAAGCATGGGACAAAGAATCGGTAAAAATTAGCTTTTGTTATAATTGTATTAAAAATGCAAAATTCTAAAAAGTAACAAAAGCATCTTAAATTAAATATTTTACTTATGTGTGCACCTAATATAAAACATTCATTAATAGTTGTTTCATCATGTAGTTGTACTTTTAATTGATGATGCTTCACTGTTCTTCTCTCATCTCGGTTTGGTTGATAATTTATATCGATTTATATGCTGATATCAGAGGATGAAGAGGATGCTGATACCAGAGGAATCTAGAAGTTGATCTAGATTATATTTTCATCTAAATAATATATAAGTTGTTAATAGGTTTGGCTTTCCAGATTTATTATGTCAATATTTGTTGTTCTCAGTTTTCCTTTCATGTCTAATATCTTTCATAAGACTTTACTCTTCAAATTTAATATTTCTTTTTTCTTGAGGAATATTGATATTTTGAAATCACTTTTAGTTATAATTTCTTCCAGGTTTGTATGATTCTTTAGATTATTTTGGAAAATTTGTCCAAATCACTAAGTTGCTTACAGAAAAAATTAATTTTCTTAAATAAATTTATATTCTAAGTAGTTAACTGCCTTATAGTCTCTGTGTTATATGTATAAAATGTAAGTGACCAATATGAATGCGTTGTTAAAATAATGAAATTATTAAATAATAAGTGATAAATTGTGATGCTGCGTGGCCCCAACTAGTCAGCAACAGTAGTAGTGACTGCTATAAACTGCAAATTATACAAACTCGTAAGAAGGGTTTAAATCCCTTTTTATTTCACTTTAGAAATCACAGTTGCGTTCACTTGACGCTCACAAACTACGCCGACCCGGCGGGTTAACAAAATAGAAAAAAAGAACTAAAAATAAATGACAAGGTGATAAATAACGAAGTCACTACTACGAGGCTCTATAATCGTAAACTAACTTAACCGCGTTCTAAGATACGGTGAGATTCAGCAAATTTCTGATTAAGAAGTGAAAGATTCAACGAACTGCCGAATAGGCACACGGCCGAAACGCGCGGTCTTAAATTTCTACCTAGCAACCTTCACGCTCGTGATTCAAGAGCCACTTACAAATCTCGTTTCCCTTCTACTAATTACTTCTGCTAAATTGAACACACTGCGCGTTCTACTACGATTTACATACTCTGGCATTGGCAATTCTAGGGAAAAGTAAAGGCTTGACAGGAAAGATAACTTAAAATAAATGTTAGCTAAAATAAATATAAACCCTACAAAATAATAAGTGTTAAATAATGACTGAGAAATGTTGATGTGTATTATTTTAACAATGCATTAACGCATTTTGACATTCTTGTAAAACACTTAATAAAATAAATTTCTTGGTAGTTTTGAACGAAAAGCATTCGCTAATCAAATCCACCCAATGTTAATTGTGTGTATTTTAGCAAAAAGGAAATTATGTAGTTTCAAAAGTAGTATCTCTATAATGCTTTTCTCGTGTGATTTACAAAATTTAAGGGCATATTATGTGCATTAAATGCCCATATACATATATCTGCACAAACATTATGCACTTCTAAACGGCACTTTATTTTTCAGTTTATTACGTATGCTCCCTTTTCCGTACGCTTACATAAATAACTAATTATGAATACTTTACCTAAAGATACTTTTGACGAAACTTACTCATGTAAAATCCTTATTTTTAGCGTTCTTATAAAACATGTAATACAAGAAGTTTCTTGGTAGTTTTGAAAGAAAATTATTATGAAATAAATTAAAATTTTTTCAAACTGAACTTTTCTTGATAGATAAATGTCATGTCAGCAGATTAGAGCATAAATGTATGTCTAATTTTTTATTTACTTTGATTTCATTCATTTAAATAAAATTTTATATGGTATTCCACCAATGTAGTTATGAAGGATTTTGAAACATGAATGTCCCACCTACGCGTTACGTGTATCGTAACATATTTAACATATGAATGTATTAAACATAAAGATCATGAATGAAAACAAAATAATGCACGTAATCAGAAACACATACTTCCCACATTGAATACAGACGTTCTGATAAGGTGTGAAAAATGTTATAACAAATTTTCAGTTAATAACATTATTTAAATTTAATATACAAAGATGGTTTATTCATATAAATCGTTAGGAAATTTTAATTTCAGCATTTCTAAATAAATTAGGAAAAACACCTGCTTCATTTTTTTTGACTGAGCATGATAACAAGTAAAACAAGCAATAAAAACACAGATTCAAGTCAGTTACTGACGCATTAGCTCAAGATTCCTGTTTGAATTCCTGAATCTTCAAGCCAGTTACTGACAATCTGAAAGCCTCAAGATTCTTGAATCTTCAAGCTAGTTACTGGCGCATTAGCTCTAAACAGGAATCTAAGGACACATGGCATCCTCTGTTCCATGGACTAGCGTGATACTCAACAAGAGATCGAATCATTTTAGAGCTATGCTTAAAATTATTTTTTATATTATTATTATTTTATATTTTTTATATTATTATTATTATTTTTTGCAAGAATATATAACTGTTTATAACTTTGCTTTCACAAGCAGTAAAGCGTGTCTTAAAATTTAGAAATTTATCTTTTTTAGTAAATTAGTTTTGCATAATCACTATTTGCTGCTTAGAACAGAAAATTCATTCTTCACTAAATCGTAGGAAATCCTCACTTTCCTTATCAGATGCCAATAAAATTATAATAAAGACATTCTTGAAATTTCTGAAATCTACGAACAGAAATATCTGCTGCCACCCTAATCGGTACAGTTATTGGCATCACTGGTTGCACTGGAACTAAACTGGGCAAACCATATTCTAACATATACATTTATAAGACAATCCTAGCACGATAAAATTCGTGGACTGGATTTGTCAGATAAGTGAGTTAAGTCACAACAACAACAAAATATTTAGTGATTATGTTTGTTGCATCTTTCACCAAAGTAAGCAGTTTTAGCTTACCTTTACTCTAAAAACTTTACAAAGTTTATATCGCTTGTAGTTTCTAGTTCACATTTCATTCCTACAACTGTTTAACATAAATATTACCGAAAGTCTTCATTAATATTAATCAAAAATATAGAGAGAGTGGGATTTCATTATATATGCTGAATTAATAAAATAAGAATAAAATTTCATTATACACGCTGAATTAAGAATACACAGAAACAAAACATTGCAACTGAAGCTAATTATTGTATTTAAAAGTAATATTTTAAACAGATAATTTACAATGATTCCTAACTAAGCGTATGTTTATTATTCATTTTTTAAATAATCTCGTTAAAGAGCATATTAAAATAATGTACATGCTTTTCTTATTACAAGAATATCTTATTATCCGTACTATTAAAAATTGAGTTGCAAATAGAAACATCCTACTTTAGCACTGTGGAGGAAAACAAAGCAAAAGAGAAACATTACCTCAAAAAACGTCGCAGAAGAAAACAAACTTGTAACGTTGCGCGCTTCCAACCTGCACGCAACAATAGTGGTGACTGCTGAGAACTGGAAAGGAGACCAAAGTCTTGAGAAGGGTTTAAATCCCTTTTATTCAACTTTAGAAATTACAAATGCTGCTCTTGACGCTCACAAACTACGCGCCCGACCCTGGGTAACAAAAATAAGAAACTGAAAAGAGATATAACATGACTACTACGAGGCTCTCTAATCCTAAACTAATAACCTCACGCGTTCTAAAATACCGCTGATAATTCAGCAAATTTCTGAATATTACGTTGAACGATTAACAAACTGCCGAGGCAAGCAACGCAGGCCGAAACGCGTGGTTCTTCAATTTAACTAGCCACCCCTCAAGCTCGTAAAGTTAGAGACACACCTTCGAACTCGTTTCCCTTCTATTAACTCAGATACTTCCGCTGACAATTTGAATCCTTGCGCGTTCTATTAAAATTTACATACTCTGCATTGGCAATTCCAGGGGAAAGTAAGGCTTGACAGGAAGATAGTTTAAACTTAAAAAAATGTTAAAATAAATATAAACCCTACAAACTAAAGAAAAAAATAACTTATTGAATCTAAAACATAGTATAAAAATCAAATATACCGCAAAACCTTGCTGTCATAAAAAATATAGTGGTAAAAGCAGCTCTAAATTATTATGTGAAAAAACTAAACTTTTCTAAGAAGCTGAAAAGTCTACATCGAAAAGTAAAAGCTGAAAAGTGTATTTTACAGTGCTAGTTATCTGTAAATCAAAATCTTATTTTACAGGGAAATTTTAAAAGGAATACGAGTTTTCATTATTACAACAAATTTTTCTTTTCTAATAGATTACAAATCTATTATACTAATGTTTAAGAAATGAAAATAGTGTATGAAAACTTTCTCACATGCATAAAATATTTACGAGTCAACAGAAATTAATATATAATTTTGAACTACAAATTAAGAAATAACTAAAACCTGAAATGAAAGATTTCTTTTTCAATTAAGCAACAACGATAATATTTACAATCAAAAAAAGAATGTTTTCGAACATCTTGTAAGGTACATATTTCTGAGATGACTTTGCCATGCAGTATTTCATAGTTTTGTTATTCTGACAATGCTTTTTATTACCTATCACCTCATCACGATATTTTCAGGGCTGCGAATTCGCACTGCTTTGTATTTTATAACGGTATTTTGTAGAGTGGTATTTCTTCTTTAAGATTTTCTCTTTGATGTTTTTGTTAAGGACGTTTTAGGAGGCACCTACAATTTAGAGATTAATATCCATTTTACCATAAGTATTTGCAATAAATCCTTTCACAGATTTTTATGAATTTGCAAAGCCTGACTCAAAATTTATATTTACTATCTACAACCCTTAGGCAACAGCATACAGAATTAAACCAAACTTGGTGATTAATTTGACAATGTTCACGTAACATTGACACTTCCATTTGACGTTTACGTTAGCTTAATGCAATTTTTAAATCATTTCAGTTAATAATATATTAAATTAGATTCGATAAGCTTCTCTTCTCGTAATGACATTCTTAATAAATTTCATTCTGGGTTACAATAGTTTTGTTTAGATCCAACGTGCGATATTGCGTTAAAATGCGATATTTGCGTTAAAATACTCATTACTTCATATAAAATTTAAATTCTATGTAAAATTTAAGATTTATTCTGAGAACATATCTTCTCAGGATATTTACAGAGAAGAGATAATTTACATTTTCATGCGTTAAGCATACACGTCATATATACGTATTTCTATTATACACCAAAGTAAAACCTGTGTAGTCAAAGAACAGCATTCTTATGTTTCCTATGCCAATATTACGTAAATTCTTCCTATACCAATATTACGTAACTTTATCAATCTTGGCAGTTAGTTACTTGGCAGCCAGAGCTAGAATGTAATTTCCCTAAATTAACTTTTGAGAACAAAATCCTCAGCTCACAGAATAAATGAATCAATGTATGACTTTATTCAATAGTACTTAATTATTGTACTGAACATTATCAGTCCTTACTAGAACCGTTAGTTGGCGCAGTGTTCGTTTACGCTTTAGAAGAATGTAGAATTTCCCAGAAGAGGCAGAACGTTTAAAGCTGAATTAAAATGCGCTCTTTAACTGTTTTTTTTTTTTTTTTTTTTTTCTTTTCTTTGAACTTTAATATTTTTAAAACGGTGAAGAAATTGACCAAAGTGGGTGGTGTTCCGAAAGCTCATTTAAAAAAAAAGACACATAACCAATAACAAAGCAAGTGTCGCTTTTTACTAAAACCGTTTCATCGCGCCGTGTTCTACAATTTATTCAAGTTTGATAAAGTTTTGCATTATTCTCCTTAAATCGAAATAGCAATAAAATCACTATCTTCTTGATATTTTGAAAAACAAAAAAAACTGCTCCTATGTTTCGAAATTAAACGTTTGTATAAAACCTGGTAATACCGGGTACTTGAGCTGGTCATAACATTCAGCTATTCATAACCATCATTATTTTTACCTCTGTAGGCAACAACGATCCGATTGGAGTGGCCCGGATGGTGTCACTTTCTAATTGCCACCTTAATCTTGATGGCTGCCATTTGGATCCCTTTAGTTGCTGTGCTGAAACTATGCGGTATCCACTTGCTGACCGAGGAGGAGCCTTCCTGGTTCCCAGCGGAAGAGCTCAGGGACTTCTACAATGTCATGCCACACAAGGTGACGCCCCTCGAGAAGTGCCTCTTCTGTATACACGAAGATGATCAGGAAGACATCTGAATCCCAACCAGAACTATCAGCAATACATGTCTCCAAAGCATCTTGACATTAGAAATATCATCCTGTGCGAAATTCGATATTCCTTCAAACAGGAATCTAATTAGCATAGGTACATAAATTGTTGAACGTGTGCGCGCAGCTACAGGAACTTAGAAGGGTAGAACGAATTATTTATATTATCAATAATAATGATAATCTGGGCTGTGATCAGCAAAACGGAAATCATATAAAAGAATCGATAAAGCTTTGAAGTTTAATGGAAAGTTTGAAGATTTCTTCCCCCCTTCATGTATTAATTGTTTAAATATCCTCACTTCGAACGAAATGTCAACAAAATTTTCAGAGGAAGAAATTTTAAACAGATTGAAGGGATTTTATTTTATTTTTTAAAGTGATTAACTATGTATCTGTGATGAAACTGGCTCCATTTTATTGGTGCGAGAAAGAAACGGATTTATATGGATATATAAATTATTTAATTGAATCATTTGCATTAATGAAACCATTACTTTAGTCTAACTTAGTACCTTGGTTATTTTTTTAATATTTTTAATAGACTGGCAAAATTAATAAGAAAAAACATTTTGTGACAAATTACTAATTCATTTTTTAAACATAACATGCATGAGTTAATATGAGTTGAATGATTTACCTGAAGCAACAATACAGATAGCTATTCTGGCTTGTTATGCAGCACCTAATACGTACAAAATTTCCCAAATATAATTTGATGCATAAATATATTTTTTGGTTTGTTCTCAATTGTTTCTGATACAGTCTTTCTAATATATTTTGTTTAACTTTTGTGTTGCTAAAGAGGTTAAATAACGAAAATAATGTACACATCAAATGCAAGACCAATCAAATGTCTTACTAATAAATGCTTCATAATACGAAAATATTCCTTAAGTATTTAGTTTCCATAGATTTTTTAGACAAAGATAGTGCCATTAAAGCGCATTCAAAAGTTTCAATGTATGAATAAAATAATTTTCTCAACTTGTCTTGTAATATCTATATAGATTCAAAAATGCTATTATAAATAATCTATACATCAAATAATAATAATATATAAGCTTTAACTTTAAATCAAAAATCAAATGTGTATTTTACAAATTAACTAATGCAGTGCATTATAAATTCCTAACAGTGCAATATATTTAATTAAGATGTGATTCAAATTGACTATAAAGCAATAAAACTAACAGTCGTGCAATATTCAAACTTAGCGCAAATCAACAAAATGATTCATCTATCACAATAAGTTATATGGAACGCTTCAGTTCGTAAAAGGAAAAGTGAATGTATCTTTTTCCCCATAACACAACTGTGAAAAAACTCGTAATAATGAAACCAATTTTTTTTTTTTTTTTTTTCAAAATCCTTACAAGAAAACTAATGTATTACTTTAAACTAACGTTTGAGCAACTAGTAAAACTACTTAGATAGTCTCAACTAATTAAAATACGAAATGCATTAAAGTTACTTTTTTATTTCAATGACTAGTTAATACGAAATGCTTTAAAATTAATATTTTAAAGAAAGAAATTTTTTTTTGCTTTTGCTAGCCAAATACGCATTCCATAAATTTTTAAAGTGCTTCAGAATTAGTGAAGAGAAGATCGAGCGAATACATCTCATACCTGAATTCCTTTGCGGAGTTATAACTATAATAATGTTATCCCCTTAAAATATTAATCAGCTCTCAAGCAAAATGAGATTCAATACATTATAATTGACAATTAAGCATTATTAAAAACATTCGTAAAAACTTTTATGTAATAGTTTAGCATAGTTTTTCAGCTATCTTTGAACGTTCTACATTATTAAAAAACTTCTTACTCAAACAAATATATCTAAAATTCTTTTAAAATTTTAAGCAAATTAAAATTTAGTAATCACTGTTTTTAAGTAAGCAGTGTATTTTTTATCAAAACCTTCATAAATTCTCAACTCTATTCGAACTAATTTGAGCATTAAGTAAGATTCTAAATAAAAATTATTAAACAATGTAATTTAATTAATAATTGCCTATTTTGCAAAAATACAGCAGAACAATTTACATTCTTAGCCATACTCCATTCAGAATTTAACTTTTAACTACATAGAGCTCTTTTTAACATATTAATCATTATCTTTCCCGTGCTTCTCTTAAGTAAAATATTATTCATGTGTTTTATAACGATTACTTTGTGCAAAAGAATTGCTTGTCTAATTTTTACCAAAGAGAAGAAGTACTTATTTGAACTCTGTTTTCTAAGTTTAATTAAAGAGAGATACTATTCTTGTTCAGATATTTAAGGGAGAACCGAAGATTAAAAAAAAAGTTCCATTTGTAAAATCTGAAAAGCTAAGCTTTAATAAACGAACTCCTCAAATAATTCTACATGTGAAATAAGTAATTTTTATCTTAATTAATAAATTTAAATGCTAAAGAAAAATTTCCAGAGATATCTAACTAATTAAACTTTTGAAAAATACCTTTTTATGATCTCAGATCAAAACTCACCAGAATTAAATTTTATTTCGAATACATGTGTTAGCAATTCAATGATAGGTAGAATATTCCGAATTTTTTACTGGTTTTTCTTTATATTTTTTATATTAATATTACGTTTTAAATTAAGTTTATTGAATTAAGTTTAAAAAAAGTAGGTTATCAGGTTTTTTAATAAATAAATCATATTCGTATTTTTCCCCTGTTGATCCAAAGATCTTCGAAATCCGTCTTTTAGAGAAAGAAAGATGTATATTCAGGAGTAAATACCTACAGGTGATATATCCTTGGTAATTAACTCTCGATAATTTGTTGAGAACTACAATCATTGGCGTAATTATACTTGTGCCTCAAACATAGAGATACAAACTTGCAAATAATTTTCTTGTGACATTTGTATATAAATGTTTATGTACATAATTTCTGTTTTCTACTTAAACACAATTACTATCATGCACAGCTTTGTTATTTGTTATCATGTTGTAATTTTCTTACTCTAATGGGTGTACTGTATGTTTATAGCTGTTTGTGAAAGCTTCACAAGAATTGTAAAATTAATTTGTTCTTTACTATCTGAAAGCTTATTCATAGTAAAAAAATTACACCCAAATATATAAATATATAATTAAAATATTAGTTTAAAAAGAAAAGAAAACTATTATTTTCTGCAATAGGAATTTCAAACATACATTATAATTTTCGGAAACTAAATCGTAATTTCTGTCTTATTTAATGGCTTCCTTTCAATTCAGGGAATTAGAAAGTAAAAGGCATACATGTTTGATAGATGACACATCATATAATTTTCTTAAACTATTTTTGCAAAGATAACTAGTTGAAATGAACTAGTAATTTGCATGATACAAAGAGCTCTCTATAAATTGAATCTAAATGATAATGATAATTCATACTTCATGTATTGAAAGTGGGCAGTCTCAGAGAAATTGCCGATTAAATTTTGGCAATAACTGTATAAATTTGAAATGAAAGGCACCAATACGTTTACGTCCTGAACACATGAAATGAGCAGATTTCTCACATAACAGATTATCATAAAAGTACAATTTCTTTATAAAACATGTATGTCTCAGAAAAGCCATGACTGGCAAGTTCATATAGTAGCAAAAAGACATTGTTCGCTCTATGGTTATTATTAATAATCTATAATAATGAATTCAAGAGCATTTAAACAGTTTCATGTTCGTTTATACTTTAGTCAGGTTTATAATTAAAAATATAGCACATACACTTTATTTCTTTTCTCTACCAGATTTTATCCAATTAAGTATTCGAGAAATAATAATAGAAAGTTAATTACGCAATTAAGATATATTAGAATGTCATTAAGATGATTCAACCTTAATTAATCAAAAATACTTCTAAAAATAAAATGATTTCCCTCAGTTATTATTTAAATGCATAAAATTAATATTTATTTCTTAAAAAATTGAAAAATTACATAATACGATGTTAACAACAAGGAAGATATGTCAACTTCTCACTCTAGATTGATTAAAAAAGGTTTAGTTCATTCTGTATATTCAGAAAGAATAATATGGATAAAAATCTGCTAATTACCTACAGTAGATAATCCAAAATAAAATATTTAATACGAAGCTTTCGATACGAAGCATCCAGGTTGATTTTTCTGATACAATTAGGTAGCATTTAGAAATGCTGGAAGCATTCATTATGACGCTGCATACTCAAATTTGGTTAATGTTTCAAAAGTTAATTCATATTCTATTATGTGCTTAGTATTTTTAACATTATGCACTTCTGAATGAGCAAAATCATTTGCAGTTTTTTATGCCGTGCTTACCTATTGTTGTAGTTCATCATCGAAATCTCTTCATCAATATTTCGCCAAATTTGATATCTACTCTAGGTTTACGATTTATTTAGTAAAACATTAACTAATAGTTACTTACATATAGTTATATAAAAGCAAATTCCGGTTGCACTTGATTTGCATTTGGTAAGCAAGTACCGGTTAATTATTTTGAAATTATCGCTACTATTTTTATTTCATTCGATACAACTGTAGTAAAATAGTTTATTATTTTGACCATTTTCTCACTGTAGTTTATCTGTACGATACTGTAATCCATGATCAACATACTGATTATTACATGAAATCTATATTATTTAGACAGTGCGATTATCAATAAGATGACACTTCAAACTTCGCTGAATTCTAATCAAATTATCCAAAACCTTCAAGTTCTCCTTGTGTTTTAGCTTTACTAATTCACAAAAAAATGTATGCATCTCCTTGCATGGTCTATTGCAAAGGTATGAACAAACACTCACTGAAAAGTAAATGCGTTGCTAGTCATAACTAATGAATAAAATATGAGCAAAAGAAATTTTATATGAATAATAGCATGCAAATTAAGCTTCTGCATATATCTATATTCATTTACTATTTTACATCTTCGTTTCGAGAACCGATCATTTGGAAGCTAGAAAAATAGCATTTTGAAATTCTAAAATGTCACCAAATAGCGTTGCATTGTCAAATACAATAATAATTTACATATTTTTTACATAATTGTATTTCTTTATCTACAGTATTTTAGCAGCTAATTTGTTAAAATTATGCATCTTTAGATGACTAAACTCATTTCTATATTTAAAAAATACCGAGAATTCAAGTTTAGCAGACTTTTCTTATGAAAGCGACTCCATAATAAATAACTTTGTCAAAAATAAAGGTTTATTTAAACATCAACTTTAAATTGAATCATCAGACTTTAAACTGAAATCGTCATAGCTCAGATAGAAAATTTTATTAAAGAATTAATTTGCATTAAAATGCACGTTTAGGAATTTTATCAATTCTCTGGATTTTAATTGAAATATCAGAATTCTAAGCCATTCAGTAAGCAGCAAACTATATCCAGGCCTTGAAGATGTTAAAATAAACTAATAATAATGTTTAAAAAAAGTTTTAAAACGTTTAACAGCGTATTAATGTAACTCGATATTCCTCTATTTCTGAAATTAAATTAATTTTTCTATATGAAAATTATTTTGCTCATTCTACGGTATCTGGTGCTTAATGTAATTTCAGCCACTATTACAGCTAACGCTGTACATTGCGATATGAAAATGAGAAACTCTATTCATATACATCTCTTTTGGCGGGGAGATTTCCAAAATCTAGCACTTTTCGTATCAGCACGCATTCCGCTGTTGACCATGTAACAGCATTAAAAAATATAGCGCTGAAAGTAAATATAGCATTGAAATATATATATATAGCATTGAAAGTAAAGTAATAACCTATGAAAGCAAAAGAATGCCAGATAGCTAATGCAGCGAATTCCTATGTATTTCAAATAAAGGAACTATTTTTAGACAGAGAAATTTCATTTTTTATTTTCATATTCTATGCCTTAAGTAGGTAAAGTTTGATGCGTGTAATTTTTCTCATAGCACTATTGATTCATACTAACAAAAATATAATTTAACTGATAAATGGGGGAAACTGAATGCAGTTTATGCTAAGATAAATATGCACTGCACAATATTCTCTTTTGATGTGCATTAAATAGTTTTGATACTCGGTGTTTCTCTCAATGTTCCTGTATCGTATTTTTCCTAGCAATTTAGAGTGAAAAATGTAATAGCTCGAAAATGCCATTGCGATCATATTAAATAGACATCTGAATTACGATTTCACAACGAAAGACATTTTTATTTGTAGATATAAACACGAGATCTTGAAAGGATATTTCCGATAATAAGAATGGCATTTCGTTGTTAAAGCACCTGCCACATATGCCTTTAAAGTCATTTAAAATCTGCACGTTACATAATAAGCAGTTAAGTTTGCCAGTTACGGCAACTAAAGGAGGTGGTAGCTTTAAAAAGAAAGTGCTGTAATAATATTGTGAATTGTGTTAATTTCATATTACATGAAAGAATGCAATGTGTTTGATTTTGAAAAATTACAAAAAATTATAATTAATTATATTTTCTTACCCTTGTTTTCTTTAAGCAGTTACTTCGATGACAATTAAAAAAATATTTTAAATATATAACTATATGCTGTAAATCACCTTAACGTTTGCGCCACATTTTTAATAGTGTATTATATTTCCCTTCCTTCTAAGTAACTCTTTTCGTAATTAAGATATTTAAATATCATCGTGGTAAAATTAAGTATGTTCCATCTTTTATTGAGATGAAAAAGGGAAAAAAACATTAAGTTAAGCCTCATTATTTTAGTTTCCTAATTTCTAGCTATAAATTGAATAAACAAATTATCATTTAATTATAAATAGTGTTAATATATTATTAATCTTTTCCATGAGGAGTTACATATCCCAAAAAATGCTGTTTTCTTTATTTTTAAAACGTCAAAGATAGTCATTTTTTCCCATTGTTCTTTTAATTGAAATAGAGAGTTTCTCGAAATAAATTTATCATAAACCGATTTTGAGCATCTTTTAAAGGAAAAAAAGGAAAGCCGCATTTTTGGATTTAAAAATGCGATCGAGTGTTAAGACGCACTCTTTTACTTCGGTATTGCAGAGTGGTGAGGAACTGATTAGAGCTATAGATAACTTGAACAGAGGGTTGAGGAACTGATTTTGATAAAACCAAATGTGATAATAAATGACAAAAAAAAAAAAAGACAAATCTTGAAAAACATTTTGTTTGACAAATCTTGAAAAACATTCAAACAACAAACAACTTATTTTTATAATATATTGATGAAAATTTCTGTATATATAATATAGAAACTGTTTTCTTGTAGTGGAACTTGATTTTCTAACAATAACAACTGTTTATCAGTATAGATGCATTATTCATCACTCCATCTGTATTAATATCAGAATTTGATTATTCTGGTTGTTTGGCTCTTCAGTATAGATGCGAAAATTTGTGAAAATTTCAAGTAGCCAACCTGCTAACTGAGAACCAAAGCTGGTACGAAGTACCAGTGTTCAGAGATCCTGTACACTTGATTACCGGTGATGCGTTTGGCACGCTGCATTTTAATTAGCGTATCAAAGCAAACATTATATTCTCTTTTGAGTCGTCTTGTATTTCTGTAATCCAGTAAGATATCTGCTAAGCCAACCTCGTATTCTCTTCTGAGCTGTCTTGTTTTTTATCCTGTACGATGTTTTGTGATGTTTTCTGATTCAAATTTCTTTTCTTATCAAAGATCAACGAAGTTGCAGTTACAAGGTTCTTAGGCATTAAGCATTTGATGAGAGGGCTTGTATTTCTCTTATCCAATAAAATCCCTTCTGAGCTAACTTCATATTCTCGTCTTCGTAGTCTTTATTTTCTCTTATCGAATAGATATCTTCTGATCCATATTCACATTCTCTTCTAAACAAAGATCAAAGAAGTAGTAATTACAAGGTTCTAATTCATAAAGCATTTGATGAGCCCTCTTGTATTTCTGTTATCCAGTAAGATATCTTGTGAGCCAACTTCAAATTATTTTCTGAGCTGTCTTGTATTACTTTAATCATTAAGTTATCTACTAAGCCATCAACAGCATTGCTGATGACAACCTTTTCAAACAGCAAAATTTTTAAAAACAAATTTTTGTGTTTCAGGTTTAAAAAAACAAAGTTTTGAGAAAGGTTTTGTAGATACGAACTCCATCAACTCAAAACCTCACCCCAGTTTTACTGAAATTTGGAATGGGAAAAAATGGCTTCTTAAATCGAAGAAATATGCTATGTATTTTATATTATCAAAAGAACAAAAAAGAAAGAGCCGGAAGCTTTTAAATGAATTTTATTTCATGCACAAAAAACGGTTGCTTGTTTTTTTTTAATTAAAAGTGATAATTTGACATTGTTTCATGATCAGAGCCAAATGGCGCATAGCCACAAAAATATTTTAAAACATTGTTTAATACATCTAACTAGTCAGATATATGATGCGCCATTCAGACGCCCGTTGTCCAATTTCAATCAAAATTCAACAAAACTGTAAGCTGACACTCAAAATGCAATTTTTATGTCACTATTTAAAATGATACTAAAGTTTATCTGGAGTCGTGTATATGGAACAACTTTTATTTCCGTCTCTGGAAGGTCATTGCGACATTCGAAGTTAGTGTAGTTTCAGACTTGAGACTACCATTTTGTGGTTTTTGAAAAGAAAGTACAGCAGCATGGCCGTTCCTTTGTGTACATAGTGTAAAATATAGCATTGTTGTGTTCTTGTTGTACATAGATAATGACATCAATGGAATTTTAGAGATCTATTGTTCATGTTAGCAATATTTTTGTTGGCACTCTATACTGTAGAACAGATGAAAGAATAAAAATGTAACATCTACAGATGTTTCGTATTTTTTCCTGGTATTACATTTTATTAAAAACCATTTACATTTTATAACACATGCACAAGTCTTTGCTCAAAATTAAAGTTGAAAATTTGGGGATTTATATGTGTTTTTATCTCAATTTGGTAATACTACTTATTTTTTAGTTACACAAGGAGCTTTTTGTAAGGAATTTTGATAAAAAGGAAGCGTTTAAGAAACCAAAATATTTTCATTCTAATATACAGAAAGCATTAAGGGAATCGACAATGTATCAATATGGATTTGGATTATTTATTTAAGGAAAAACACAGTAAAGTTCTTTGATCATAGCACGTTTCAGTTACAGATATTTTGAATACTGTAAAATTCTAATTATCTGAACTTTAAGTATCCAGATCTGTAATTATTCGGATCACTTACTTTTATTCTCAGACTAAGTAAAATTAAATTTGCTTTTTTAAATTTATTTACGCGTTTTTAATATTCCTTTTGATTCTATAAGGTATTTTCTCCTTCTTTCCGCATGTCTTCGTCGCATAATTGGTATTGCATCAATTCAATAGACAATATTAATCAATGCGTAAAGCATTCCAACAGTAGGTAAGCAAAATAGCACTTGGCTAGACTAGAAGATCCGGTTATAACCACGTGCAGTGCTGATAAGTACCACGTGTTTCTGAGACTCCTTCCCTTTAGTTTTCTTCTTTCTAGGTATTTCTTTCTCCTGATGAGGAGGGACCTTTAGCTGCCCTCGAAATCGATTGAATGTTTCAATATACTTACGCTAAATATAAGGTTGTTTTTACGATTTTGAAAATAGCACTTACCTGAATCACCGGGTTCTTCATTCAGGTATATCCAAAAAATACGCACAGGTTCAGCTTTAAACTTTAATCTGTACACAAGTTATAAAAGAGAGGTTATTACAAGAGATCAAAAACTACGCATCCATTTCCTAAGGCATTCATTAACAAACTAAACTAAAAATAGAACACTGATTACATCATAAATCGTTGAGCGCGCGGTTAAGTAAAACTTACGTAATCAGTTCCAATCGTTATGCGCGCGCACAGGCGGAAGTATCACATATCCAACATCCTCCCACCTTTGAGATTCGAACCAGGTAATCTTAAACCATAATTCTAGGTTTAATTAATCGTCCATATCTGGATCTTTTTTCAGGAACAGTCTCTGGGAAAAAATCATTAACAGTTTGTTGCTTAGAAGGTTGCTTATCTTTTGAGCTAGTACTGGGTTGTCAGAAGCGGTTTCTGAAAGACGATTTTCATCAGTCTTCGGTTCATTGAGAAATAGAATCCTGTTCTGCTACCCAGGTATATGGCGGGGTCACTTTTATCAGTCACTTCAAGAGATATAAACCTAAACACTGAGAGGAGAAATTCTCCGTTTTTCATTTTTATTTTTACTAGGCGAATTTGTCCATCTTTAGAAGGATAAAGTTCGACCACCCTAGCCAGAGGCCATTCAATTTTATTGACGTTATCACCAGAAACCAGAACAATATCACTAATTTGGATGGGTTTCTGAATTTTATGAGATTTCGATGATTGGCGTAAATTCCCTAAATATTCAGTACGAAACCGTTTTCTTAAATCTTGTTTCACACGTTGACGGTAAACATGCCTTTTATTTAACGACGACGAATCCAGAACATCAAGATCTGGAATTCCTGTTTCTTTAAGATCATGCAAAAGCATAGAAGGGGTAAGTGGAAATCATCAACGTCTTCCGAAATATAGGTTAAAGGTCTCTGATTAATCACACCTTTAATGTCACAAATAACGGTGTTGATTTCTCCTAAATTAAGTGAGCTTCTACCTAGAACCTTTCGTAGAATTCTTTTGATTATACCTATCAGACGATCCCCCCACCGACCCCACGATGGGGCAGAAGAGGGAATAAACTTCCAAATGATCTTTTGAGATCCGCTGTATTGGAAAATGACGTCCCAATCAATTTTCTTCAGCAAATTCTCAGCTCCTGAAAAATTAGAACCATTTGTCACAGTAAAAGATGGAAGGTCGACCCCTTCAAGCGATGAAACGTCTAAGAGTTTGCAAGAAATGGTCTGTCGATAAAGATGTAGTCAACTCCAGATGTATAGCTCGGTAAATGGCACAGGTAAATATAACAATCCAAGCTTTCTGGCCATTTCTTAGGATTAATGGACCAGCGTCATCCATTCCTGTGACTTCGAAAACTGCAGCTTCCTTTATGCGATCTTCTGGGAGAGAAGCTTCGATGATCGGTTTAGACCGCAAATTAAATTGTTTACATATTACACAGTTTCTAATTACATTTCTTACTGTCTTCCTGCATTTAAAAATCCAAAAATCTTCTCTTAAGTTTCTCATCAGGATTTGAACTCCTGCATGGTACAGCAGCAACGTACAGGTCCGGATGATTTTTTCTGTAACTGGATGATTACAGGGTAGTATTATCGGATATCATAAATTTCTTGCATCTTTTCTTATTAAGATTCGAGTCTTAACTTTCAAAATACCATTAAAATCGGCGTAACACTGTATCGTTTTCAAGCGTTTATCATCCGGTCCTGTAAATGATTCCTTCTGTGCAACTTTTATCAACGCGATCTCTGCCTTATTTATTTCTTCTAGTGTCAAGATTCCAAAAATTCGATTAGACTTTTCTACCTTACAATTGGTAAAAAATCGATATACCATGCAGTGACTCTAAGTAGTTGGTTCTACGAAGAGAATCTATCATAATATTTTTCCTGGGGTGACATTCCGTGATTAACTGTACTAACAATAGTCTTTCTTTTTTCTAAATTTATTACATCGAAATCAGGAACTACGTTAGAATTTGGGCATTCTTTCATTAGTTTTCTCGATGGTCCTTCCCACCATCGAGATTTTCGTAATGTTTCTGCATCGCATCCCCGTGATGGAAGATCTGCTGCATTCAATGGACCTGGGATGTGATACCAGTCTTCAGGACTTGTCATAGAACGAATCTCTTGTACTCGGTTAAAAAGGAAGGGAGCCCAATTTTCGTTTCCTTTAGTTCAATACAAAGCGTTTGCCGAGTCAGACCAGAAAACCTTCGGCACATTTTCTATTTTTAGGTCATTAGTCACACTCTGAGCTAATCTAGCTCCAATGTTGCAGGAAAGAAGTTCCATTCTGGGAATAGAAATAGATTTCATCGGTGCAACTCTACACCGTGCCTGAACAAGTTTCGGTCTTACTTCGTAAGAAAACACAGGTAGCATAAGCTGTCTTACTCGCGTCACAGAATACATGCAGTGTTAGACTTTTCGGTACTTCACAATTGGGAATAAGACATCGAGGAATTTCTATTTCTTTCAGCTTAGAAAGTTCCCGTCACAACTTCTCAAACTTCTTTGCAATGGTGATAGGAAGTTCAGTATCCCATGATACTTTCAATTTCCAGCACTCTTGTAGGAGGACTTTTGGTCCCAAAGTAACAGGACAGGTTGAAGTCAAGGGGAATCAAAGATTTTATGAACGGTTGACAGGAATTTTTCTCTTTGTCACAGTTGTATCGTCTTCAACATTTTCTATCGTAAATCTACCGTCAAAATGTCATTCTTTAAGTTCCACTGAAGCCCTAGAACTGGAATATTCTTTTCATTTTTAGGCAAAGGGTCTTCAGTCTTGATTATTATAACCGTGCTCCCACCCTCGAAGTTCGAATTCGGCAGTGCTAAGAACCAGCTTGGATTCCTCAATAAAGTTCTTCGGGATTTTCTACACGGGTAACACAGTTATCCACGTAAAAGGATTCCAACAGCTTGGTGGCAGTTTTTTTTTTTTTTTTTTTTTTTCAAAACGGTGAGGAGTATTCTGTAAATGAAATCGAATGGTTGCTCCCAAAAGATACGAGGAACATGAAAGTCTGAACACAATCCGTTTCTGCTGGAAAACTTTAGGTTTGGCAGAATCACCCCCGTCCCACCATCCCACCATAAAAACTTTAAATATGGTCGATCACTCTCACTCAGTCCAATTTGTAGGATGGCTCTACGAATGTCCGCAACAACGCATATTTTCTTTAATCTAAATCGATTCATGATGGCGGGAATGAGCTCGACGGTGCTGATGGGACCCATTTTCCAGGCAGTCGTTGATAGAAGGTGAGTTCTTTTCTCTCATCAAAAACCGGTCTGACTCTTGTAATGGAATTTTCTTTCACTACAGCCCTGTGGGGTAAGAAGTGTTCACTTTCTTCTTTACAGGAATTCTTAACTTCTTCAATAACGCTTTCTTGAAGCCACTCTCTAAACACTTCTTCGTATGCTTCTAAGTTTCCATTCCTCTTCAGTGATTCAACACAGCCCTTTAGCCTTCGTTCTGCAACATTTTTGCAAGAGACAAAGGGAATGACCTTGTATCCACGGGAGACTTACAACGTACCTTCCATCGACATCTAATTTTACACTTCAGTTAAAATGTTCTTCAGCTGCCATCTCAAGTTCTTGTCGACTTCCCTTCTCTCCAGGGTCCAAAATTCCAAATTTATCAATTCGCCATAAGTCTGAAATTTTTGCATCGTTTACATGTAGCGACATAACGCTATTCGTGCTATCTGAAGTTTCGATCGTATCAGTCTTACCCATTAGTGTCCATCCAAGCCGCGTTTCCATCAAGACTAGACCTGAGTCTAACTATTTTATGTTTCCCGTATACAGTTTACCTACGACATCAGCCCCTACGAGTCCTTGATACAACAGATCTACTTCGTCATTCATATCAGACAGGAAAATTTTATATTTCTTAATTTCAATCATCAATTTACCACGCGGTATTTTTGGAACTTCGGAACAAATTTTTTCTTGATTTAACACCTCGAAATTACATCTATAATTATCCGAAAAGTCACTAAGGTGAAGCAAATATCTCTTATGTGTTTCCGTAGTTTCTATACCGCTGAACAAACTATGTGTTAAAATTTCTTCACCAATACATTCATATCTCATTTCCATTATTGCAAAATTTGACAACTAAGATTTACTGCTACCTGA